AATACATACATATGTATGCATATTTGTATAAGTGTATGTATGCTTTTTTTACCAAACGCTGGAAGGACTTTGCCCTACTCTGCGATTCTCATAAATTCAGGTATGTTACCTTCTTGCTTTAATCAAGTGTCGTATATTAACAAGTTGTATTGTCAACCTAATAGTCCGCATTCTCTGTTCACGCTCTCTTGATCTCAGACACTAAAAAATATCTAATTGAATTCCACTTTAAGCTTATTAATTAATAATTGAGCTCTTAGATATACATAATTATAAAAAAAGAATGATTTGCACAGTTGCAGGTGAAGTTTTTAACAATGATGAAATAATTACGCACTAAGTTCTTATATTAATTTTAAAAATAAACTTGAAGTTAATCGAATCACCAATCAAGCTTTGGACATGCGAAAATTGTTAAAGATGTCTTACTTGAATTTTCATAGGGATCCTTAATGTGGAATATGAGCCACCAATTATGTGAGTCCCATTTCCACCAAGGAGGGATATATTTTTCAAAAAGTGTGAAACTCCTCTCAAATAAAGATCATATGGTCGAAACCATGTCCCAAAAAATGACTGCATTAAAAAGGTACAGTTGTTCATTTATCGCAGATATGTCGGTCATTAAGGACCGATAAAGAGATATAGAAAACTTAATTTTTTTTTAAATAAGGAAAAGTTATAATGGTCGGCATGGAATTGTTTTTTTAACTATATCTTATAGCTTATGATCGACATGTTATTTAGAAGGCTTTGAAAATTTTATATGTTTTATTTATATATATATATATAGAGATATTATACGACATAAAAGATCATTAAAGTATCCCAAATTAAGTGTGGTAATAAAATTTTTTTAAAAATGAACGTACAAGAATCAATTAGCAGATTAGACAGCGACGAAGCAATGGATATATTAAATGAAGCCGCAGCTAGGCTACCTCCTGAGGTGGCGCCACAGCTAAAGCTATCCCTCAGTGAGAATATCCGGCGTGAGGTGGCCGCCCTATTGACGGCACCCAACTTTATGCGCGAAATGGCCCAAGAGTTAATGCTGCTAAGTACGCCCGAAAAACTAAGCTCGGAAACCGAATACGTAAAGCTCGACGATCTCAAGGAGATTGTCGGCAAGCTTATAGCCCGCAACGTAGTTGGCCAGAGTTTGGCTACGCTGGAGGAGAACAACAAACAGTTCGGTACAATGATACGCCACGTGGAGGAGCAGTTGCTGCAGCTCAACAAACGTGTGGACCAGCTGACACATGATTTGCAGGAGATAACGTTATGCGAGGAATCTGAGCAACCCAACAGAAGTGTGAAATGCGACGAATCAGAAGCAACTCACAAAAATGTGAAACTGTCTGAGGAGTCGTCAATGCGATTAACCGGCGGCGCTATAACACCGTTGCCCGACTTCTGTGACGAAGAACCAGACACGGTTGATTACAGCCATGATGACATGGATGACATGATAACCAAACCAGAAAAATTGCGCATCTATAATGATCTCATCTGCAAATACAACAAACAGTTAAATAAAGTTTCATCTAGCGAGACGTCCGCACATTCTAGCAGTGTTTCGAAAAGTACCGCACTTGTGACCCCACTCACCAAATCGAAAGCTGACCAAATGTGGGATTCACCTTCGCCGTTCGAGTCCAGGATAGACTGTACGCAGCTCCGGAACGATGCAGAGCGACATGCAGCGGAGCGACGCCAGTTTGAAACCAATATGCTGATGTACCGCAAGTCACAGTTCAGTCTTCGGCTGAACAGTCGCATTGATAAGTTTTCCTTCACGCTGTGGAATCGCGTCCATGCAGCCATGGACTGCAAACAGCCGCAAAAATTTGAGTAACATGCACGCCAGCATTGTAAGATTAGCCCAGCTACAGATAGTTCCCATTGACGCATTCATTTTAATTAGCTTATCCACTCAAATAAATGATACATTAAGAAAACAAATTGTAGACAGACATGTTTGATGAATAATTTTATTAACGCTTGGAGTAATGATGTGTTAGTGGACATGCATGGTAAGTAAGGGAAAGAGAAAGATGTGTGGTGTTGATTGCAATCAAGTAACAAGCTTTGACGATTGTTTTCAAATTAAAACTAGGCCAAATGAAAAAATCTGTATGGTGTGCATATGAAAACGGTTTTCAAAGGGACATAATGAAATGATGAACACATCGACACATCGGACAACATTGTTTTTAGTAAAAGCATCACATGTAATGGAAAAGGGACTTGTATGGCGTCATTTGCTTAACAAATTTCTCGTCATGCCATCTCATTGACATTTGTATCTAGCTTTAAGTGTCGCTGTTCAGCTAGCAACTGCTCCAAGGCTAGTAGCATTGCGTCCAGGAAATCGGATAGGGTTATCTTTTGGTTAAGCTCAAACAGATCTCGGCTCGTGTGATGAGCGTGAGCTAACAGCGGCAATTTGCGCAGGGTGCGCCCGCTTAGACCAACACTGCGTTCAGCCAAATTAGTCAGCAGATCCTCAGAGTCCTCCTGATTGCCTTCCAAGTCCTCTGTTCTCACAATGCCCCTCACCATCAATTCGGCCAGCATTGACTTGTAAATGGAGCCTATAGCTGCTATAGCCGGCAAGCCAATAAACTGACGTATATCTGCGCGATCCAAAAATGCCAAATCAATGCATTGGGCCAAGTTTGAAGTTGCCAAAATGAGCACATTTGGACAGGCCTTTATATCATCCAGCTGGGTAAGCACCGCATTAACCACTCGCATGGCATCTCGCGGCTCATTGCTGCTCATAGCACTTCGTTGATACGCCAGGGATTCCACCTCGTCAATAAGCACGCAAACCAAATTGTTTTTGTCCGCCACGAGCTCGCCGATTTTGCCAAAGAGACGCGCCACCAATTTGCCACTCTCCGAGAACCACTTTGAAAACAGACTGTGGCTGTTGATCTCCACAAGATGCGTGTAGGCGAAGCTGCTTTGTGTCCTTATGGCGAGCTTTTGAGCGAGCGCCTTGCACAGACTAGTCTTGCCAGTGCCAGGTGGACCATGCAGTAGCAATAAGCGGTTGCAGGCAATCACATTAGTGTCTACACTATGCTGCGAGAAACTCAAAGCGGACAATGCGAATTTAAGCAGCTGCAAAATTCAAAATAACTACATGCATATACTCAATATAGATTTAGTAAAACACACCTTTTCCTTGAGTCCTTCCTCGTAAATCAAATTATCCCAGAGGCCGACAAACTCATTGGCAGGCAGCAGAACATGATTAGCAGCTATCACACTGTCCAGGCTATCGGAATTGCCGTCGCCTTCACCGTCAAATAGCCCACCGGCTGATCGCAGCCCAGGACGATGCGTCGTGTAGAAATGATAGCAAAATTTCAACCTATTATGATCCGGCTTTACTGTTCCATTTTCGCCGTTGTCTTTCTCCAGCAGAATACTCTCCACTGATGGAAGCTTGGTGTCCGGAGCGAATGCAACATTCCAGCGCAATGTTTTTAATGATTTTAAATATGCGTCAAGCTGTGGCTCGATTGCCGCTCGAAGCGTCTGCATGCGCCTGTAAGTAAAAATTATTTTACCAAACTTTATATGATTGCAAAACTTTTAACTCACTGCTCACTGCGCTGCACACGCACTTCTACGTGCACCGTATTGTTATTGCTTAAAAAACTCATTTATGTTAAGAAACGCGCCGAATTGAATGAAAATTTTAAAGAATGACAAAGATAATGTGACCGCACATTTTGTTGGCAAAATATTTGGCAGACGATAGTAATCGATACCTATGCTAAAACGCCGGTTCATAAACATCAGTATATAAAATGGAAAACATTTACATTTATTATGGTATTAAAACTAGTTTTAGTATTTAATCGTCGATTCCAAAAAATACTTGTTAAACTTGCGCCATCCAAATCTCTTCTTTGGGTCCTTTTTGCTCCAAGACGGCGCAAGGTTCGGCATTAGGCCAGCCTTTTGAGCCATGGTAACTAGTGTGCCCATCTTCTTTTGCTGCCGATGACACAATCCTGTTATACGTCTAGGCAACATGCAGCCATCAGAACGGACGTATTGCGATAAAATTAGCACGTCCGTATGCTTAATGTCCAAACCCAATGTGCACTCTGGGCAAAAGGTGCTGGCACAAGCAGGTTTCAGCATCTTTTCTGAACGTGGTGATGCCACGTTTACGCCCTCAAAGACCAGTGCATTGTTTTCCAGTTTCTCATGTACTTAAAATACGACAAAATTTGTTTTCAAAACAAACTCAGCAAGGTTATGAAACATCCCGTTGCGTGCCAGGCGTTGTACTTACTTTCTTTTATTAACAATGGTGTGCTAGTTGCAATCCTACGTGTCTGCCAGAACGTTCCTCGGAACGTGCTGATGGCTGCTTTCAATAATGTTGCCATGTTTTCATTAATAATTTAATTATTAAACGCAATTTCTGCTATTTACAATGGTCCCTCTGACTTATTTTCGATAGATATCGATATTTGGAAACTTTTACCATATATTTATGCAGCTATCGATACCTTTTCGCTTCTGATGCAGATAGCGATTGAATTCCTAGCTTAAAAATGTGTAAGTTTTTATTTTCGCCAAAAAATGCAATATATGTTATTGTTATAGTAAATATGTTTTGCAGCCGCCTCAATCACAACCAAAAGCACTCTGATCTCTACAATTATCTCTGGCATACTGAGCTTTGTTATATTTGCAACGCTGCGTTTCTATGCCCAATGGTTTAATGATTCCCAAATAAATATTTTGTTTGGCGGCTACCTGTTTTCTTGGTTGTTTATATTAAGCCTCACATGTTTATCAAATGCTGAAATGCTGATCTTCGGGCCTGATTTTCAGGCCAAACTTGTGCCAGAGATTCTATTGTGTTTATCGTTAACAGCGGCTGCTGCGGGCGTTGTTCATCGCGTTTGTGCAACAACCAGGTAAGTTAATGCCGACGCCCACGCAGAAATCGCAATAAATTGTTGTTTTTCTTTTAGTATTCTATTCTCCCTGGTGGGATTGTATTTTCTTAATCGAATCTCTTCTAACTACTACAACAGTGTGGTGGTGCCCGTGGATGTCCCTATGCGGAAAAGCGCAAAAAAGTATAAATAATTTTGGCTTTAAACATAAATATGTGTGTTATATGTAACATGATAAATATGTGTGCATTGTACAACCTAAAAACTTATTCTTTTGTTGCGCACCGCTTCGTTTCCAGCCTCCGACGCTATTTCATTTCCAGCTTCCGGTAAAAGGTTTAGTATGTTAAAGTCAATAAAGCGTACCAACTGCGAAAATGGATACTTAGCGTTAAAGTATTATAATTGCTATTTAGGCAAGGGTCATACCATCAAGCCTGCTTTGCATTTGTCTGCCTTGTGCTTCTCTTCTAGCTTGTTTCTGAGGATCTTGAACCACTCCGAAATTTCAGTGCAAGTCTCTGCTTGGGGCAACTCAAAGCCCCGGTACCCGGCTTGCTTTAATGCCGCATTGTTACTGTTCAACGCAGCTGCTGCCAATATTAATGCAAAGCTCTTAACCAATGTGTATGTTTTTTTCAGTGTCCATTCGTCTAGTATTGCCTCCACCTTTAGGGTTTTAAACATTTGCCAGACTTCTGAAATCTTTTAAACAAAAGTAAACACGAATATTCGGTTTTTGCTTGACTTACATTTCGATATATATGCATGACAACTGGGCTCGAACTCGTCAACTCGGCTATAAAAGCGCGTAAAAGGCCCAGTGATATCATTTTTCCCGTTTCACTTGCTGTGATTATATGCGGTATTGCCCATAATAAATAAAGCATATAATCATAGTCAGTATGGTTCTCAGCAAGGCTTGCAGCGAATTTTAAGTTATCAAGTAATTCACGAGTGGCATAATCAATCATTGTTGGCTTTAACATGTCTGAATAATTGAAACAATCGTTCAAGAGTTCGAGCCGCTGATTTTGTATTTCAGGATCTCCTAGTATAAGCAGCATTATGGCTGCGGAATATAAAGACGTTATTTCCTCAAGACTCAAATCTTTTTTGAGTGCCTTTAAAAAGTCTCCACAGATCTGAATTGGAGGAATAGTGCTAAAAACGATATTTACTTTCAAATCATATCTACTACACCTTTTGCACATCTTCCTGTGTCTTGAAAGTGTTTTTATGCCCGCTATCATCATAGTACTGTTTAAGGGGTTGTAATTTTAATAGTACTTGGTGCAACTGCATATATTTAAAATTCTTAAAATTCGAATCCATATTTAGCACTAAATTGTGAGAGCAGCAATTATTATATCAGCTGTGTATCGGCGTCTTTGATTTTAGCGATAGTTTCGAACACTTTGATGATATCGATAAAACATAACCATCGTTGATATTGCCGCTATCGCAGCACTGCATTAGTGTTTTTCGCACGCTCGCACACGGACTAACAGCTCAATTTCTTCAGCAAAACAGCTTTTTTTGTTTTAATCGTAAGTACATAATAAAATTTTGTGAAAATATTTCAAAGTATAATTAAGTTAATTACTACGCATGGTAGTTATGTGTTATTTCTGATCAATTGCGCAATTTTATGAAAGATTGCGCGCAATAAGGCCTCAAGTCTTAGTCATTTATGTATGCTTGTGTGTGTATTAGTGCATACATACATACTTGGTTATTGTCTGTACATATAATTTTTAAGAAAGGTTATGATGTACATGTATTTTGTGTATGTGGGCTTATTTCTATAAACTGAATACCATATTTTAGCTACAGTGATTCATAATCATCGCAAATAATCAATGATTTTATAACATACAAGTGCGACTGTACGCTCATAATTAAATAAGTGGCACGAAATACGCGTTCACAATGTTCTAATGGCGGAAGAGAAGGCATTCATTGTGAATGAGACGTTGAATTTTCAAAGGCATTCGCAAAAGAGCTGGTTCATTATTGCATTGGCGAAGCCCAGACAAATAGAACCTCGAAATTGATGTGCACACAGACGAAATACATGGACAGACATGTACATGTATACATGTGTGTGAGCTGTTTGAATGTCAATGTATTGCCACAAAATGGCGCCGACCACATGTCGTCGTGTCGTTATCGTCGGCATTCAACGAAATGTGTGTGTCATTTGCTTTCTGAATTTCGTTTAATAAAGTGGTGTGCGCAGAAGAGGCGCTCGAACGTCAAAAACACTTTAACAGCAAAGAATACACATGTATGTATATAGTAGCCGATTGTGATATTTAATAAAAATAGAATTTTTGACATACACTGAATTTAAAAGCAACAAAATTGTTAAAGTTAATATTTAAACAGAAAACACAATCGGCAGAAATTTCTGCGGGTTTTTCTCTCTCTCTCCCTCTCTCAACTGTTGAGTGTCTCTGTGTGTGCGTGCGTGTCAATTTTACAGTTAAAATTAAAGTAGACGCATATTTGGGAACAGCAAAGCACAAAGGAAACTCATTACGTCTATTTTGATTGCACTGCGCTTATTGTCCAGCTAGTCCAAGGTAAATTCGTAGTCTGTGCGAGAATTTTGCAAACTAACGGCCAGTTAAACTCACATGCATATGCCTATGTATGTGTGCACATCTAACCTCATAGAAACTTGCTCGCGCCATCACATTTGGGTACGATACAATAGGAAACGCACGCTGAAGCAAGATCTTTGGCAAATTAACATCCGTTAAGTGAAAGTATAAGTGTAATTTGTTGCAATTAAAACTGGCTAAAAATTAAGTTCGACAACAAAGCCTTTGTGTATATACATACGTATTAAGTATACATTGACCTCGTTTGCAAGCGCGCTCCCAGTAACAAAGTCAACGTGCTTATGTACATATTTTCAAAAATTTCACTTTATTCTGATGTTTCTTTGCTCGCTTCTTCTTTAGGCGAGCTCTCACAGTTCGCCTTTCATTGGCCGTTCGGCATTATCAAACTGTAAGAGATTATGCGCATGTACATACATATATATATGTGTGCTTGCGTGTGTGAGGCACACACGATCAAGCAACTTTTTTTTTTTTAGGTTAGATAGCATTGGCACACGATTTGATTCAACGTGTAAGCGTTTTCACACATACAGAACCTAGTAACCTTGTATATCACGTCATATATATATTTACTGTAAAAAAGAAAATACAAATTTACTAAAAAAAAAAAAATACATAAAATTGATTGTCTCTACTTCATATCTGCAGCAATTTATTGTATGAGTCAAAAAACTGAAAGACCAGTGCTATCGGGTCAACGCATCAAGACCAGAAAAAGAGGTAAGCATTTAGCTAAGATTAGAATAGTTTTCAAATATTTCTGAAAGTACGTGTTACTGTTGTTTCGAATTAGATGAAAGAGAAAAATATGACCCAACGGGATTCCGTGATGCGGTCATTGCTGGTCTCGAAAAAACTGAAGGCGACCTGGATCAAATCTCTAAGTTTCTAGACAGCGCGGGCAACAAGCTCGATTATCGTCGTTACGGTGAAGTGCTGTTTGATATATTGATTGCGGGTGGTCTATTAGGTGAGTGAAAAGTGAATCTATTTAAAATACCATCTCATCTAATATTTAACTGAAATACCATCTTAGTGCCTGGCGGTTCTATATCTCAGGATGGCGAAAAGCCACGCACAAGTTACTGCATATTCGATGCACCCGAGGATATGGAGTCAATGCGCAACCATGAGCAGGTTAGTATATCGTTGACACCAATGCTGCGTGTGCATATTATTAGAACCGGTTATCGGTCAATGCAGATAATCGGTGTCATTATATGCCAAATGAAACGCCTCATTTTACTTGTCTTTATTTTGTATAGAAATAATTACAACAATCTAAAGATTTCTAATGTTGCGACAAACCAGTTGAGTCGTGTGTTGTATACACATCTGTGTATTTTTGTAAACCTTAGCCGCATATTATTAGAACTGGTTATTAATTACTTTGTGTTATAATCGGTGTCAAAATTATGCAAAATGAAACGCCACATTTTACTTGTCTTTAACTTTTCGCAAAACTCGATTTTTAAAGATTTCTAATGTTGCGACAATATAAATTTAAAAAAAAAAAATTATTGAATACGCCCAAACTTAATTATGCCTAATGTCTAATATAAAACTTAAATGTTTGCAGGTGTTTGTTAAACTCATTAGACGGTACAAGTACCTTGAGAAAATGTTCGAAGAGGAGATGGGTAAAGTTTTGTTATTCGTAAAGGGCTTTACGCCAAGTGAACGTATTAAGCTTGCGCGCATGACTGCGCTCTGGTTAGGTAAGCATATTTAATTAATTTAATTACATATCAATACAAATATTATAGTCACCTGTGATATTATGAGTTTTGAGCAAACGATCATACACTCTTACTACAGTTGGCTAATATTAAATTTATAGTCTTGGTATACTGACTCTTGCATGTAAAAGTGTAAGCCTAATGCAAAAGCCACGAGCCCAAGCACATTTTTTCCCCTGTCTATAGAAACTTTTTAGGATATTTGAATACCGTTCTAAATGAGGTTCTCATTGCAATTTGCAGTTAATGGCTCTGTACCGCCAAATGTATTGCTGGTACTAAACAATGAGCATCTGATTAAGGATGGCATTGCACTCGAGTTTTTATTGGAGCTGTTTTTGACGTTCAAGCAAGAGAAGGGCATTGCATATCTTATTCAGGCGCTTAAAAAGGGTGGACTGGAAAGCAAGTAAGTTACATTACATATTTGTAAATATTTGGAATGTTTTCAGGAAGATCTACATGCATATCTTGTTAATCTTTAATTAACATTCCTAGAGCAATCATTTACATGGAATTTAATGCATGTCGCAAATAAACTAGCTTTATTTGGGTGCCCATTTTATTTCGTACATTAGCACACCGTAACGAATTTTACGTTCTTCATGTAAAACTATAACGAATATAATTTTCGTTGCAGACTTATGGACTTTTTCCCACTAAACAAACGTACTGAGGAATATTTTAAACAAGTTTTTCTTGACAAAGAACTCAATGAGATCATAAAATTGCATAAGGCTCAGGCCAGCCAAGAGGCCAAACGTGAACTGCAGCAGACCCTCATCGATGATATTAACGATGAGAAGGCACATAATGAAATAACTGCAGACATCAAAGAGTTTGCACTACGTACCAACATTCCTGATCATGAAATAATTGTTATTGTAAGTGGTCCTGTTTCTGTGTATTCTTTACAGCTTATCTTATATTATTCTAATTAAACATGATTTATTAGATTTGGTCCACAATCATGTCGTTGGGAGAATGGAACAAAAAGGAGGAGCTTGTCACCGATCAAGCGGTGCGTCATCTAAAGACATATTGCACCTTGTTGCAGGCGTTTGCCTCAACAGATCGTTCAGAATTGGCATTGATATTAAAAGTGCAGGAGTTCTGCTACGAAAATATGAATTTCATGAAAGCGTTCCAAAAGATCATCTTGTTGTTTTACAAGACCGAGGTATTGTCCGAGGAGATCATCTTGCGCTGGTACAAGGACGGACACTCTAACAAGGGCAAGATGCATTTCCTCGAACAAATGCGCAAATTCGCCGAATGGCTCCAATCTGCCGAGGAAGGTTAGTATCTAAAAAACGATGTTATGAACAAAATTATTATAAGGCATCATAAGGCTGGCAATTTTTGAGAATGGTTTTGCCTTTTGTGTGGCATTTTCATTGTACAAAATTGCAAGAGCATTTGGGTTTTTTGCTTGCCTCGTTGTTTTTAAAACCATAGAACAACGCAGGCCAATGAAAACCTGGACATTCGATGGAATATTTCCTGCATATTTCCTTACCAACTTTTTAAGTTGTACAAAGTCTTAAAAAGCTCATGTAAAATATGCAAGAGCAAAAGAATGATTGGGTGTCCATATAACTAAACATAGTTACATTTGGCCAATAATCGTTCGGACAATCATTCAAATTTACATCTTTTGCAAGCACTTGAACGTGTGCATACTCTTTAAAATTGTTTGTTGAAGTTGTACTCCCAATGGGTAACGATCACTCCTTATAACGTATGCCAGAGCAAAGGAATGATTGGGTGTCCATATAACTAAACATAGTTACATTCGGCCAATAATCGTTCGGACAAATTTAACTTGTTATGCATTTGGCAATAGTAATCTAATACATATACATATTATGCCTACTTTTTTACTTACAGAATCTGAATCGGAGGATGAGCAAAAGTTAGGCGACTAACAAATATATTAGGCGCAGTTCATTATCTCGGCATTAAACCAACTGCAACTATACGGAGTCGCCATCATCATCAATATATATGCATATGTGTGTGTATATATATATACATATATTTCGCATTACCAACAGCCAACCGAACTACACTCCCCTTTGGAAATTTCCTAGATGTTAACAAGACCCATGGACTTTGCAACGTAAAGAGAGAGGAGAGAGCCAAGCCGCAAAATTCGAAATTTACTGTACACAATTTAATAGTTTTTCAAAACCACTTTCTACATTACAAAATGTGCACTTAAAATTGTTAAATTTATTCATTTTGAGCAATATTTAAGTGAATTTCAAAACAAACAAAAAATGAAAAAGATACAAACACAAACTTGAAAAATTGTTTATATATATATATATATATGTATGCAAACAAAAAAGGCCAGAAAATATTGTTATAATTATGTTGCATCTGAAAACAAACAAAAAAAAAAAAACACATTCAAAGTTATTCTCTTATTTAAAAGTCAGCAAATGATTTTAAGTAATAACTGGTCAGGACTTTTAGGAAAAATAGTAAATGCTAATTATGCAGTTAGACATCGACACACAATTTATGTATATTTGAATGATTAACAAAGACAAGCTTAATCGGCCATCTTAGAACAGATGAAAAACATACAAACATGTCTTGGGAAACCACATCTCAAATGAAAATGGGGGAAAGTTAATTGAAAAGGCGATTGCATGCAAGAAAAAAAATATACATACAGTAATATATACAATTAAAGTAAACAAATTACAATTAATCGTGTTTTATTATTGTACTCATGGGTGAAAAACTGAAGCATCTCAAATCGATTTAATATGTGATTGATCAAATTACAAACAATTCCAAATATATAGAGCTGAAAACGGGCTATTTAAACAAGCATATAAACTTTTTTTTTGTTTTTCAGATCACGCTGATATAAGGACTTTATTTTCTAAGATCCAAGAAGGTGGCATACTAAATTTTAAATTAATCATGTTTAAAGACACATTTTAAGTTTTTTTTTTTGAAAGTTAAAATGTTTTTTTATTGTTTTTAAAATGCTGTCTCAAATTTCGGAAAGTCCCTAATTTCACTATACCATGTTATAAATAATATGTTGACCAAAGTTAAAAATTTCATTATACTTGACACGGTTCGAAATTTGTATTTGCCAACGGATTAATTTAAGTAAAATCGGTCTTCTAAAGCATGTTTTCAATGAAATACCAAAATACGGCAATTTCTTAACTCTCTACTATTATTGTCTACTTTGGATAGGATTATACCCCATGTGTACATATAAACGAGCCGCAGCCCATCCAATCTTGGGTTCGGTTAATATTCAATTCGGTTAGAATTCAATTGGGTTTTTGTTTCAAGGATGTCTACGGCCTACATGTGTTAGCACAGCCTTTTTAATGCAGCCGAATTAGAGAAAGTGCGAAATTTGTTGATTGTTTTTTGTTTTTGGAAATACTGTTTTTATTCAACATAAATTTTGTTTAAGTTTAAAAGTAAGTTTGTTGCATTTGTAATTCATTTAATCGATGTTATATAATAATGCATATGCTATTGATTTTATTGTATGCTAAATTTGTAGTTATTTTTCGTGAACACGCAAACATTAAAATACAATTATTCTGTGTGTACTTGATTAGAGCCAGATATGAACGTGCGTTTATAAAGCAATTGTGCGTCAACAGCGGCAGCCATTTAAATTGAGACTTATAATTTCCATTTTTTTCTTTTCTTTCAATTTTACATTTAAGTATATATATTTATATATATATATATGATTTGGAATTGGAAGCAGGTAAAATATGAAGGCTTTTATATGTATTAACAAATTTAGCTACTTGGCCACTTGGCAATACTTCGTTAACTGCGCGTGCGTTAGGGTAACTGTGTATTCGTATTTAACTGGTTCAACAACAGACATTTGATGATTGTTTATGGCCTTTAAAATGTGCCAGTTGCTGGACGCCGGCGCACATTGTCCTCGAGCCAGCGAAATGCGACTAAATGAATTTCGGTGGCAAGCGGACAATAATGCTGAGTGTGCACGCGTGCGGCCTGCAAGTGGCACATACATTGATAATTATCATTTATGTTAATAAACATTGATAATTGTTGCCGCTGTGACGCACATTGCAATTGAATAACATGGCTAAAGAAAAGGGGATAACAATAATAAACAAACAGTTAATAAAAATGTACAACAAAATTTACAGACAAGGGCAAAACAAAAAGAATTTTACAAAAATGATAAAGGCGCACTTGAATCGCCAGAACTAATAACGGATCGCAAAGTATTGAGGAATGTTATTATAATTAGCTTATATTGTTAACGCCGGTTAGTTCATAGAAAACAAACTTTAACAAACTCTTTTACGGATTTGAATGCACTTAGAACTGTGTTTATCTGTTGAAATATACTCTAATATATCATAATTGGCAAATATGTAAGTACTTTTAACACATAATTGTTGCCTACATATTTGACCAACATTCTTTGTTTTTCTCAGTTTGACTATAAAAAGACAACGGCAATAATAATAATAATAATTAATAGACACAATTTTGTTAAATGAGTTCAAGAGTATGAGTTTTCTTCTTCCATTATTAAGTGGTTGTTTTTTTCTTGTTGTTGTTGTTGTTATAAGCTTGAACTGTTCTGTTTTTTCACTTAAAGAAAATTTTTAATCGGTGAATTTGCGATTAACATTGCGGCCGAACAGGGCGTTACGGATTTCTGGCACAAGTTGCTGTGAAATCAATTCTAATCTGGACTCCAGGGTATTTGGCACCTACAATGTGAACATGGATCATTAATAAAATTGTTAGAGCAGTAAAATTGTTTGCCACGCACCTTGATGCGTCCATTCAAAGCCAACAGCTCAACACCACCACAGGTATTGGCCGACAGATACTCCTTCTCGTCGATATAAAACTCAACATCCTGTTTCATTGCGGCTTTGTACTGCTCAATAGCTGAAGGGATTACTGCCCTAACTAGGGGCACATCGACTTGACGGCAGCGTAGGGTTACTTTAGGTTCCATAACCTGATACAGGCCTTGGACAATTAGTTTCTCAAGAACGGTCTTGTATTCGGATTCGTTCTGGGTGACTTCGCCGAGACGTTTGCGTGCATCATCCAGCACACTGCCAACATGATCCTCGCGCACTTTGAGCACCTGTAAGTGGTAAGTAAAACCAGAGATGAATTTGTTTTTGTTTTTGTTTTTTTTTTTTTCAAATGGTAGAGCTGGTTTGCATATAAAAACCGACCTTCAAGCGAGCCTGATTGAGCATGTTTGAGGATTGGATTTTCTTCTGCAGCTCAACTTGCTTCTCCTTTTTCTCGTAGTACTCCATAATCTTGAGACGCTGTTGTTGGACGAGACGTCCCTTCTCAATATTGAACTCTTCTTCGGCTTTGGCATCGATCTCCTCGGCTTTTTCATTGGCCTCCTGCTCAATGAATGCCATCATGTGTTTGATCTGAAGCGAAAAAGTATTAAATTAGCTTCGTTTATCAAAATCTATGAAAGTGGCTGATGGATAGAACAAACCTAAAGCTAATCACATGATTAGGCACCTATATATCTACATTTGTGTAGCTGAAACATTTGCTGCTCGGCTAAATCATTAGCAGCTGTCGCCCGGCGCACCGTTACGTTGACCAAATGTAAATATTAAATTTTTTAATATTTTGTGCTTTCAGAAAAAAAGAAAAAAAAACTATCCAATGGCATTGATAAGGCACGGCAAGTTCATTTACAGCGCAGTCGTGTGACAGTGCTCGCACTAGTGTATTGGCTGCGCTAGTCGTCTCTCTTTAACACATTGCTCAAGTGTAGTGCGTGTCACATGACCAATAAGCATTTTGCTTTTTGCGTAAAACTTTGAACAATACTTTTTTCCACCAACAACAGATTCAAAACCCATTTTTAATTTACTCAAAAACTTATTCATACGCTGTCTTATATGCACATAAAACACTTTTTGTCAGCCCAGATTAGATATTTTAATGTATAGTGACTAAAAAAGCTGCACGCAAAATTCACATGACTACGATGAGAATCCCATGACTTCGCCATCTTTCTCGTTGCCCGGATCCGTGGCATTGAAATTATTGTTCAATTGGAAAAACATTTCTGTCTTACATGTTTAACAACTTAACTAAATACTCTCATTATAGATTGCTTTTCGTTTTACACTTGTTATTTACCTGTTTCTGTACATCAGCATCGCTCAAAGCCATCTTGACTGATTTGTCTCACTTGCCACAAAATCGAAATAGAAATTCAATAGTTCCGAAGGAATTCACGTACTACCGTGCCTGAAATGGTTTTAACTTTATAATAAATTTCTTAATTATACAACACGAAAGGAAAATTACAAAATAAAACTCCATACAACACGAGACAAAAACGGAATCGGAAATTTACTTGCAGTGTGTGTGCCTTCTGCCCGTCGTCTGAAATTTTCACTACCTCCAATCGATCATATGATTTTACTTCGTGATGCGCAGTGTTGTTAAGCACCGAAAAGTGAATCAAAAGCTAGGCGATAGTATCGAGAAAGGTCTCAAAATAGTCCCGATAATTGTAACGATGTCTGTTCGTAAGTACTATCGATATGCATCGTTCGTATTCAAAACTACCATCACTACTATCGATACTGGCAGTACAGCTCTAATTGTACGTATGTGCATACACTACTCTGTGAAAATTTGTTTTTCGTTTGCAATTAAATAATTGTTTTAAATAGTCAGCATAATGGAGACGCTACTGGAGCAGCAGCGTCGGTACCACGAAGAGCGCGAGCGCCTAGTGAAACTGATGGTCGATGAGCATGCAACCAAAAAGCCCGGCGAAAAAGAGCGCATTCACAGTGAGCACCGGCTAAAATATCTAATGGAACTGCACCACCACGCTACCACACAGCTGCGCGAGCTGTATGAGGACAAGGACAATGAGCGAAAGGCTGAAATAGCGGCGTTATCTGGACCAAATGAGTTCAATGAATTCTATGCCCGCTTGAAGCAGATTAAACAGTTCTACAAATCTCATCCGGCTGAAGTCAGTGTTCCGCTTTCGGTTGAATTTGAAGAAATGATAAAGGTCTACAATAATCCCGACGAAATGAGCGCTCTGGTTGAGTTCACCGATGAGGAGGGTGGCGGTCGCTACTTGGATTTGAACGAGTGTTATGAGCTATATTTAAATTTGCGCGGCGTTGAAAAGTTGGACTACATTACGTACCTCATGTCCTTCGACCATGTCTTTGACATACCACGTGAGCGTAAAAATCGCGAGTACCGCAAGTATATTGAGACGCTTAACAATTATCTACACAGCTTTATTCTGCGCATTCAACCGCTACTAGACCTTGAGGGCGAGCTTGTTAAGGTTGAGCTCGATTTCCAGCGCCAATGGCTGCAAGGCGCATTCCCTGGCTGGTCTTTAAAGGAGACCGAATCGGCGCTTGCCAATACGGGCGCGCATTTAGATTTATCAGCTTTCTCAAGCTGGGAGGAGCTGGCCTCCTTGGGCTTGGATCGTCTCAAGTCCGGATTGGTCGCCTTGGGCCTCAAGTGTGGCGGCACTTTGGAGGAGCGGGCGCAACGTTTGTTCACCACCAAAGGCAAGAGTACTTTGGACCCGGCGCTAATGGCCAAGAAACCAACAACAAAGAGCGCTAATGCACAGACGCGTGAGAATGAACGGAATAAGGAAATCGCGCAGTTGGAGGCGCTACTCTATAAATACGCTGAGCTGCTCTCCGAACAACGTGCGGCTACCAAGGAGAATGTCCAGCGTAAACAGGCACGAACTGGTGGCGAGCGCGATGACAGCGACGTTGAAGCTAGCGAGTCAGATAACGACGATGATCCGGATGCGGATGATGTTCCATTCAATCCCAAGAATTTGCCATTGGGCTGGGACGGCAAACCCATACCCTACTGGCTGTACAAGCTGCACGGACTGAATATCAGCTACAACTGCGAAATTTGTGGCAACTTCACATATAAGGGCCCCAAGGCGTTTCAGCGTCACTTTGCCGAGTGGCGGCACGCGCACGGAATGAGATGCCTGGGCATACCGAATACGGCGCATTTTGCGAATGTGACACAGATCGAAGATGCGATCACGTTGTGGGAGAAACTCAAGTCACAAAAGCAGAGCGAACGCTGGGTAGCCGACCAGGAAGAGGAGTTCGAGGACTCCCTGGGCAATGTGGTCAATCGCAAGACATTTGAGGACTTGAAACGACAAGGATTGCTCTAAAAAGTAGTTTTTTTTATATCTCATGTAAAATCTATTGCTTAATATACAATTATAAAACCTAACCACATATATGCGCATCCATTTTCAAGCCCACCTTGTCAACTGTTGCGAGGGGCAGTAGGGCAAATTTACGCGGTTCCAACTGCTGCGGATTGGCACTTGCTTGCAGCCAGGGAAACTCCTGATATTGTGCATCATGGCTGAGCTGTGTAAAGGCCGTTTGTGTTGTATGAATATGCACCTTAAACTTTGCATTTTGACCGAGTTTCGGTAAATGTTTAACGCGGTCCGCCAATTTGTAAAGTGCAGCGCTTAGTTGTTGTTCGTACTCCATTAAATATTGATCCTGTGCGTGATCGGATTGTACCGGTTGCATTTCCAACAAGTAGCTTTCCATGTGCTCCGCATCATTTCCATATATAATAACTTCCAGCTTCAGTTGTTGCGCAGGATTCTGCAGCAATTGCTGCACAGTTCTCAGCACATTGGCTAGGTAAGAATTTAAAGCCGGAAATGCGACTATAAAAACTGGCGTGTTGTATATGCGGCGCTTCTTGAAGATTTGTCCAGGATAAACACCGCGCACGTATAATATATGATTTAAAATCACTTCGATTGCTTCCGCATGTATTGCTGCAATGTCATCTGATTCCATTATCAGTTAAAACAAACTAAATATTTCATTAGCTCTTGTAAACATGCACAGCTAATGTATTAAAAAATACCAAAAATAAAACGGCAAGTCCGGTCACACTTTTCTATTCGAATTTTGAAGCGAATTGTTGACTTAACTCTTAAACGGATCGGCAGAATTGCAAATAAACACAGGACTTTTATAGTTTCTTTACTTTTACCAGGATAGTCAAAACTATCAGTAAAAGGCGACAAGTATATTGAAAAAAAAAAAACCCGCAGAACGTATATTCAGAATAGACATAAAATTGATTTAAGAATGCTCAGAACAGTTTAAAAAGTAAACAAAACTCGTTTGTTTTGGTGTTTATTTAGTTTGCTTAAAAGAATTGCGTAGCCGATTTAGGCAACCAGAGCAGATGCTGTGCTGGATTCGTATTTCCAGTTTGGTGGCAGTACGCTCTTTGTTTTGTAGTAGCGCGCCAGGCGGTGAATTCTGGACTCAACCAAAATCAAACGGAACTTGCCATCCTTATCCTTGCGATTGCGCTCCAAATGCTTACGGATGGCCACTGCCTTCTTGATCATGTGGTACAAATCCTCGGGAATGTCGGGTTTAAGACCAACCGACTTCATAATGCGCAGGATTTTGTTGCCATTAACAAAGCGTACTTGGGCCACACCATGGGAATCACGCAAAATGATACCTAAAATTGTTGACCAGTGTTCAATTAACCTAACCTCAAACCGTAAACACAAATAATAAATACCAATTTTGGAGGGTGTCAGACCCTTCTTGCCAAGTTTCTTGATCTGCTCCTTGACATCCTCGGCGTTAAGTTTCAGCCATGATGGCACTGTGCGTCTGTACGGTAGAGCGGACTGGGAAATACCCTTGCTGTAAATAAAAAGTTCCGTTTGAGTCGCTTGCAAGTGTCAACCGGAGCGGCAAGTGTTTTCGTTTGCAACATGTGCTTGCCTTCATGGCCCTTTTTTGGTACATTTTCCGCGTAAAGTGTGTACAACAAATATTGCAAAGGCTTACGTGCACGAAGCAGGCACATTTTACGAGAACTCTTGCTCAATACAACAATCGAAATGTGCATTTTACCCTGGAGCGTGCATACGACCCATGTTGAGCGCTTAGTTTTTGATACCGAAAAGAAAGTGGAGACTTGTCAAATGCCAAGTTGAGTAAAAAGTCTACATACACATTGATACATTGCCAGAGTTGAGTTTATTCTTCAGTCGGTCTCCATATCCAAAACACCTATCGATAACTAATTGAAAACGCAACTGACACAAAGTGTCAGGACAACTTGAAATTTTTTTTAATTTTTCAGAGCGCTTGTTATCAATAATATGCGTAAAGGATAATTTAAAATTTGCAATTTACAAAAAGCTCTCTGGGTAAATCTGGTGTTTTTCGATCCGCTTTCTATTCATTAGGCGCATTTTACACAATTGACTACTTGCAAATTGGTCACTTCAAAATTCCTTTCCCTTTGGATTAGTAATTTATACATTTTAATACATTTCCTTAAGCCTCTGCGTCGTCAAATAATTTCAGGAATGCAAAAAGTCCTTATATAAAAACATGTTGCATTACAAAAAAAGGAGACATCTTAAAAGAAACGGAACTGCAAGATACGAGTCCTTTTGCATAACAAAATTTTAGCTATGTATTAACTAGCATGCACCGAATGCTAACAGTAGTTTTTGATATTAGTTTTGTTTTTTTTAAAGCGATACATTTAAATTTTGTAAACAAATGTGACTAGCGCGGCACGAAAATACTATCGGCATGGCCTATCGTGTACTGCACTAGTTCATTTCATTTTTGTGCGGCTTAAGATACATACCACTTCAGCCCTGTGAGAAAATTTTTGCGTCTAAAATTGAGAGAGCAAAACAAAATCGTAAGTACATAAATGCATACAGAGCTAATTGGGAAGAAAACACGGTTCGCGCCATTTATAAATTCCCAAATATTAAATAAAAGTTGTATTCTACATGTGTTAATACTAGTTTCCGTGTTTTACTGCAGGCAAACAAGTTTTGTGCCACCATTTTTGTTGTTCTGACGCTTGGCGTGCCCCATGTCAATGTGTATTATTTGCGTGTATGTATGTACTCCTCAAAACATGCACACAGTTTTGCGAAATATATACAAACTGTGATTGTTTGTTTAAAGATTCACGTTACGTCGTCAAAGAAACATTAAAATGGATGCAGATACAGAAGAAGGTAAGTGTTCCCTAGCAATTTACATTGGTGGCGCCATCTACGCATCACATACATACAGTACATTGGTGTAGGCTTCACAGATATTTATCTGCTCGTGTATGCGTGTGTGCCTACACACGTGTTGTTGTTAGTGCGTTATGTATGATGATCGTATTGAGTCTGCTCAGTTGGTCAGTTGCTTCTTTGCTCTCGCCATGGACAGCTCTCATTGCCGGCGGCCAAGCGGGGACGGGCACACACTTTACGGTGATTAAGTCAGCGCTATTTTAATTTGAACACAGCTCGGTTAAACAATAGACGAAATGTGCTTCGCTCTAAACAATAAACAAAAAAATTGATGTATGATTACAGAGTGGGCCAGTAGCAGCAGCAACAGATCCAGTTCCAGTGATGTAATAAAAAACCTACTGGAAGTCGCCAATAGCAGGCCAGGCACCAATGTGGCCAAGGCAATCGCTGCGTACCAAGATTTTCCTGGGCTATCAACGCTGCTTCTGCTCCTGGAGGAGGTATCGAAAAATACAGATTTTTCAACCGATATGCGCTTGTCGCTTTCCTATGTAAGTAATACCAAATATGTCCTTTAAAATCAATTAAACGTATTTTTCCAATTTATCACGGACTCTCGCCTCGTTTAGTACATGGATGAATTTTTGCGGCAAGTATCCGGTGCGAGTGTGCCCCGACGCTCGGTTATTGCCGCCGCCGGCAGCGTGCTTCAATACTGCAGCAAAATCTATGGCGACAGGGTGGAGCTCATGTACCAGGTTGTGGAGCATCAGATCGAGGCGCTGCTCATAGCCGATCCCAAAAAGGATGAGAACAGCAATCGGTGAGTAAAACTCCAGTCCAGCACCGGCTGCCATGTGGTTAGTCATTCAGTTAGAGCAGCAACATCTGTCGCCATGCTGTCTGCTTCAATTTCTTATCATGTGGTCGCTTATCGGCTCTTCTGTCATTCTCTTCGCATTCGCCGGTTCCACTTCCTTTTCCACAGTCGGCTGAACCATGCGCCACATGCTCCAATGCTTTAGACAAAATGAATATGATAAAATATATTATATTAAATATATTTTATTTTTTATTTAAAAGAAAACAATATTTAAAATTTTGAGTCAGAAACTTTTCGAAAGTAAGAAATAATGTTTATTATCCTGAAGTCGATCATTTAAGTATTCATTTTGTTGCCAATTTTAATTTTTAGGTAACAATTTTTAAAATTAATAATTCCCTAAATGTGTAAATCTCACAGATTTTGTGTTCATTAATTTATAATAAACATTTTCTAACGCTTTTTTAGCAAAAGAGATGCTAGCAAGCCGGAGGAGCCGCGAAAGCGTCGCATTAAGAAACTCACCCAAAAGGAATTCGATCCGTTTTCGTATAAGATGGAACCAAAAAAGTTCAAAATAATGTCCGATGAGAAGCGCTTCAGTCGCGTTGGATTCGAAACGAATATAAACAGAAATCGTACAATTGAGCACATGTATCAGGATCATACGCCGTCCCATCTTTGGAAGCATGCTTCCATCGTGGATCCAGCGAATCCCTACGAGCAGGATGAGAAAAAGAACTATAAGGTGTTTACATACCATCCGGAGCCCAGATACAATACGCTTCTGCCAGACATTCAGTTTGATCGTCTGAATTTGATCAAAGAATACGTGCACTCAAATCAAGTTGATGTATCCGACACTCTTAATAAGAACATGACTAATAAGGAATATTTAGATGAGTACATAGCGCTAGAGAACCAAATGCTTGCCTCTCGCTATGGGGAAAAAACAGGGCTGAAGCGCACGCTGACTGTCCAAGAGGATGAACAGGCGAAGCGTTTGCGCTTGGAACTGCAGAAACGTTTGCTGGAATTCACTGATGAGAGCTCTAAACGTAGAAGGCTAACTGAAGAGATGGACGATAATCGTGATGGGAATTTGGAGACTGATGAAAGCGGAGCTAAGCGATCGCAAACCTCTATGGACTCAGTACTACGCGAATCGCTGAAAACTTTGACGCTGACAGATACATCACAAGTTCAACTTAATGAAAACAAGATAGAGGCACTTTCCTTAAGCAGCACGTTGCACATGAATGACGCCAGTTGCTTGGACAGCACGCGTTTGGATCTGCAGCAACTCGAATCTATAAAGGAAGAGACGAAGCAGGAATCACAACAGAAGTCCCAACTGGAACTCTGCACTGGGAAGGGTGATGATAGCAATGAGCAATCGTTGCAAATTGATTCAGGCATTGGCATGGATGATGTATGCGATACTCTGCCGACAGGTAAACTAAAATGCACTCTGTTTATGTAGACTCGTGTTGCACCAACAGATCAGGCTAAGATTTTTGTTAATCCTTTCTTTGTAGACAGATTTGACTCACATTCTTTGTTTACTTTTTATTTTATTTACGTATGTATTTCGTTTGCTGTGCTGCTGCCTGCATCCAAATTTTGTGCAGGTCAATCTTTTGATGATGAGGGTGTTGTTCTTACAGATCTTATAGACGACCAGCGTCTGCAGTCGCTATCGCCCAAGGTAATGGTGCGGGACATACTGCCCGGTGTGCCCGACAAAGCCAACCTGAGCGTGCGCGTGGACGCCGAAATGTTGGCTCTGAGCGGCATCAATGAAACGCTCGAGGAGATTGTTGATGTGCCACGTGAAGTGCACTATTCAATCGAGCGGAATTTGCTGCAGCTACCAGAAAAGAGGCTACGCAAGGGTTCTCTCTTCAAGCTTCCCAAAGAATTTGATTTATTTAAGAAAGCGGTAAGCTTACCCGCCGTAATTCTCTTTAAACAAATATATAAATACCCTTTAATTATGTTATAGCGCACACCAGCCAAGCGACAGGCTGAACCCAAGGCGCCCGGTGCTCCCAGAGCCTTGCCTACCGTCTCGCCTGTTGCCTCGCCTACGCATTCCGTATCGTCACTTGACAAATTTCCGGCATTGCCGTTGGACCAAATGGAATTCGATTCGGAGCTAAGTATGTAAAAATAATTTAATTCGGCATATGCAGCTGCCTAACTTATGTCTTTTATATTTCACAGATTTTCGCGGATTCAGACGCCCTACTTATGATTCAGGTATTGATCAGGAAGAGATTAGATTGGCCAACTCGCCAGCAGATGACGGCATCATCGTTGATGTGGGCTCCGAAGAACCATCGGATTCGAATGCATTAGAAAACTCAGCGCTCTCAAATGTAATTCAAGAAGCTAGAGATTCTGAACAAACAGAGAAGGACTTGACGTTGCCTGAAATTTCATTGGGCGCAACAGAATCAAATGAAACGCAACAAAATGGTTTACAACATACACAAGCAGATGAGATAAGAGCCCAAGACATCACCGAAGAGGACATAAGAATACCCGATACCACAGCAGAGAACACAACGCTACTAGAGAGTGGATTGAATGCCATGCCTATGGATTTGGCCACAAACGACATAGAGTTGGACTCAGACTGGGATGCAGAAGAAAGCGATTCGAGCGTTCAAGAAAACTGTAATAGCATAGATGCAGAAACTGATGCCAAGGTGAGAAATGCGGTTTCTAACCCGTTTTAATTGTAGAAACAAGTTAAGAGCAAAATAAGTTCGAGAGTATATATGTATATTGAGGACAACAATTTAAATTATTTTTTGTGCCTTGCAGATTATTGACTGGCATCGTCGACTGGCACCCACATTAGAAGCAGCGCATGCGCGTCAAAACTTTAGCATACAGCACCTAAATGACGAGATTATAGCAAAATGCCAGGAAAATGATGGAGAGGCAACACTTGCCGATGTGATAGAGGATAAAGATCCAACCAAACTATGTTGCTATATGTTGTCCTCGCTACTGCTGGTAAATGCCACAATGATATACCAGCAATGTTTCCCACTTAATATTACTTTGCCTTGCAGACAAACCAGAGGAATGTGGAGCTTCAAATCGATAAACATGATAAGAGCAAGCCAATTGAAATGAATCAGTTTAAGATGAAGTTGATTAGCACCGAAAGGAAACAAGTGAATCCCGAGGATGACATTGGCAATATGGACATTTCCAATCAGCGTAACAACCAGGCAGCATCACACGAAACACCGCAATCTGCTAACGCCGCCCATCGCAAGGTGCAAGAGCAACGCCCCACACTTGATGCAATTAATGTAAAAACAGTGCGCCTTATAAAACCTGTGCCCAAGGCAAGCGCACGGCCAGAGGATGCTGACTCTGGCATATCATCGCTGCCGGCATCCTTAATGTCTGTGTGGCCGACTGACATGTAGCAGAGGCCGTAGCAATTGCTGGTGTCTAGTGCTCAATGTGTGCCTCTGTCTTTAGTTTATGTATATAGTTGATTAAGTCGCAGGGTTGACGTTCGTATATATGTGTGTACATTTCGATTCTCGTCCAGTAACCTTAGAATGTATAATTTTGTGTATGTGTTTCTGTTTGATGCGAATCTAAAATTTAATTTAATGAGAATTATTCCTTGCAGCCGATCATATTGCGCCGGGGGCTGCCCTTTTCACAGGCTTACATCAAAATTAAGAGGCTGTGCTGGCCGCGCAACTGACAAATGCATTACTGCATAATTTTTTTTTTTTTGTTTTTTTTTTTTGTGACAATGTACAAATTCTAGTTCTAAGAGAGCTTTTAACATGAGATGCAATTTTTAGTTTTATTCAAATTTATGCTGCCAGCTTTTAGTTCTTTATGTTATTTAGTGTAAGCCAAAATTGGACCAGTATTATTTAAGCTCGATTTCCTTACGTTTGAACAAGTTTTTTCAAATTTCATTTTTTCTTATCATTTTCCATTCTTTATATTTTTTTTTTGTTTTTTCATTTTTTATATTTTGTAAAATTTCATTTTCACTTTCTTTTGCATTTATCTTTCGTTTTCTATTTTTGTTTTATAGTTTTTCAAAAATTTCTTCATTTATGATTCTTATTTTGCCATTTATTCATTTTTCTCAACTTAAAATCTTTCAGAAACGCAAGTCTAAAAAATAATAATGAAATCAAGATTACCCAGAGACACATATTGTGGAAATCATATAGAGCTGATAGTACTACAAAAATCAAGTACCTGATCTCCTAGTGTGTAAAAATTGTTTTTCCAACTTTTAAAGACGGTTTATCTATTTACATATATATTACATACATATGAATGTGCAAAACAAAGCAAAATTTTTTTTTTGTAGTAATCTAAGATAGCATCTAAATGCAATGAAAAAGTCAAAGAAACTAAAAACTAGTTGTTTAAAATTACTGAAAAACCGGGGAAAGAATGTTTTAATAGTTCGAGAATTGTGATAAAAATTGTGCAGAAAGTCTGCTGGATTTACTTTTTGCTTAGCTGAGTACGTGATTACATTGGAAAGTTGTACATACATATGTGTATATATATATATATACAGGTAATAAAATCAAGATCCTACGACTATTCAGTATCGCTGCCGTCCGATTTAGCCTTTTCCTCGTCCTTTTGTTCATCAGTCTTGTAGTGGCGATATTCTTTCTTGAGCTCCCACATATTTTTGTGCGGATTTTTCATGTTGTAGTCGCAGACATCCTTAAGTATCTCCTTCAGGTAGCTAATTGGTTGATTGGTTATTTTGACCAGATCTTTAATATTATAGTACTGATGCTTCTCAAAGGCATGGAAAAGCATATCCATCACAGCATTCTTGTCGTCGCGTGCTTTCTTGCCCTCCGCCTTCTTACGTTCCCGATACTCAATCTAAAAATTTGAGAAATTTTTAACAAATAGTGAAGACAAGCGCAGTTATACTTACATTGTGTGCATGATCCTTCACTGGCTTGTAGTTCTGTACGATCTTGTCGATCGGCTGCACTCGACGTTGTGGCTCCGATGCCTTGCGTATGGACTCGAGCTTCAACTTCATGTAACAAGTGTCGGCAATGGGACGGCATTCGAGCTTTTGGACGATGCGACCCTCCATGTACAGCTTTTCACTATCGGGCGTCCCTGAAGCGGCACCTGTGCCATTTTCCTTACCGTTGCTGGCGACGGCCGCCGCCTCTGTGGGTGCCATGTGAGAGAAAACGCCAAGTGTCTGTTTCGTCACCTGTGACACGTCAAGTACATGCTCTGTGGGTATCTTCTCATCCGGATCCAGTGCGAGCACAGCGGGCGTGAGTGAAAGTGAGACTTGCGCCTTCTGTCCAGGCGTCTTGCTGATACGCAGTTTCCCAACATCCATATTTGATGGCGCCTTTTCCCATTTCTGTGCAATGTATTTGGGTACTTTGACTAACCAAACGCCACGTCCGGCATTGGATAGATCCAAGTCCTTATCGATGATTTGCACTTTGTCCTTGTCATCCTTAGACATGTTTTTGTTTTAAATTTATTAATGCAACCGCACGTAAAATATGCAATTGCAAAATGTAAATTGCACAGCTGAGGCGACAGAGCTGCCACCAGGGTAGAAAATTATAATGCCAGCATGATTGCAGAATAAGACAAGGTTGCACAGAGAAACTCGCGACTGCAACTGCGTTGAATACGTGACGTCATATATAAACAGGGGTTGTAAGAAACAAATTTTATACTTGCTTGTCATATTGTGGTATTAATGACATAAGATAGCGGAGATCAACTAATCAACCTGAAATTGTACTTTTTTATTGCTTATCAGATTCATTGTGCCCATCTCATAATTTAATTTTATAAAAAAACCATGACTGTCAACTCGGTGTATTTTACAACACTGCATCAGCTGGTGCAAGTTTCACACGCTGGCTTTTTGCTGCGGGAAATTGTGTTGGAGAAAAGCTGTTAGAAAACGTCGGACTAGGAAATGGCACCGCCTGCAGCACGGGCGCGTTACAATGCCAACAAGGCTGACAACCAGATACTCACCAAGAAACCACCGAAACGATTAAATGGCAAAGACAAAGACATTGCCGGCGTCATCGTAGCCGGCAACAAAAAGGAGAAGAAGAAGAAGTACGTACACTGTCGCCTAATAAAACACGAATGCTATTGCACTATGCATGTCTTTCAGCAAACAATCGCCGTCCGCTGCGAACTCCGCGGAAAAGACACAGTCTAGCCCCAATCCTATTATGCCCAGTGTCCACACAGCATTCAAGACATTCGTGAGCGCGCGCCTTTGCAGCGCCATTTGGGCGTACATTTCTGACTGTGATGAGACTTTTAACTACTGGGAACCGCTGCATTACATCATTAATGGTCATGGTTTGCAGACCTGGGAGTATAGTCCGCAATTTGGTTTACGCTCGTACACATATCTACTCCTGCAAGGCGTGCCCGGCTGGATCTATCAAAAGCTGTTCAATCCGAGTCCCATTCTCATCTTCTACATGGTACGCTGCATGTTGGGCTTTGGCTGTGCGGTCATGGAGCGCTTTATGTACAAGTGAGTACACCTGGCCAACGTTGAGCAATCGTTATTTGATAGCTGCCTTGTCTTCCAGATCCATATGCCAGGAGTTTGGCATACATGTTGGACGCCTGTGGCTTATATTCCAGCTGTTTAGTGTGGGCATGTTTGTATCCAGTACCGCCCTTTTGCCCTCCTCGTTCTCCATGTATTTTGGCTGTTCTGCTTTGGCCGCCTGGTGGCAGCAACGCTATAGCTTGGCCATCTTTTTTACGGCCATTTCGGCGCTGCTGGGCTGGCCATTTGCGGCGTTAATTGGTGTACCGCTGGTGTTGGAGCTGCTGTTACGTCAGCGCGACTGGCGTACTTTTGTGCAGTGGACTTTGATATCCGGCGCAACAATTGCACTGCCCATGATTGCCATCGATACGAGTTACTTTGGCAAACTGACTTTTGCGCCGCTCAACATAGTCTGGTATAATGTGTTCACTAGCCACGGGCCCAATATCTTTGGCACCGAACCTCTGAGCTACTACATCGTCAATGGTTTCTTGAATTTCAATATTATTTGGGTATGTTACTGGGTATACTAAAACTATAGACTATTCCTAATTGTTGTCATATTTTTAGCTGTTGGCCCTGCAACTGCCCATAATGCTGGTCATGGACTATCTGATTGTTCCCGCCAAATTCAAGTCGACGCTTAATTTTCCGCGCTACATATCGCTGGCGCCCCTCTATCTTTGGTTGTTAGTGTTCTTTGCACAGCCGCATAAGGAGGAGCGCTTTCTGTTTCCGGTATATCCGCTGATCTCATTGTGTGGCGCCATTACAGTAGACGTTTATCAGCGCATCTATTTCCGCATCAAGTCGGTTATCTTTAAAATCAAGTCGGGAATTCACTATTTGGATCACAGCATGTTTATTGCCATTATTGTGATGGTGACCAGCACTCTGCTGGGCCTTTCGCGCGTCTTTGCGCTTTATCGCAACTATCATGCGCCAATGGATCTGATGCTGGAGCTCAACCAGTTTAAGGCAACGCCACAATATCGTGCAGATGAAATTTATAATGTATGCGTGGGCAAGGACTGGTATCGGTATCCGGGCAGCTTCTTTTTTCCTGCTCGCAATTTCCGTTTGCGTTTCCTCAAGTCTGAATTCCAAGGCATGTTGCCTGCCTACTATGTGGACGGCCCGAATGCCACCAAGGTGGTGAATCCGTATTTTAATGACCAAAATTTGGAGAACGAGCACATGTACTTCGATTACGACCAGTGTCATTTTCTAATGGACTTTGATGAGGGCAAATATACAACACTGGAGCCGAGCTATTCCAGACGCACGAAGGACTGGTCCATTATGAAGTCTCTGCCCTTCCTAATACCGGAAAAATCGCACAAAGTGCTACGCGCCTTCTATGTGCCATTCGTCACCGACAATCACATAAAATACGGCGATTTCAATCTACTTAAGCGCAAAAAGACGCGCAATGGCAGCTAGAAGTGGCATTAACACGAGGCCAATCCATGGCCATGCAATCCAAAGCAATTTTAAAATGCAGCTGTAATTAAAAAAATCAACATTTAATTTATAAAACCCAAATTAGTATTGGTTGTGTTCCTTTCCTGTTTTGTATTTGAGCAAGTGAAAAAGTCTTTTAATATTACCTGATTTTAGTTTGTAAGTTCACCAACGAAATGTTTAACAAAATTTGCCCATTATGCGTTTTTCTATTTTAATCAAGCCAAAGCTGTAAACATTATGCTGAATCGAACTAGAGTTTAAGATCAACGAAAATAAAAGCAATGAGATTCTTAAGGTATGAATTAATATTAGCAATTAATAAGTTGTTCAGGTGCTGTGAGGTTGTGCTGGGATTAGAGACGATGAGAAAACCTCAACTGAAAAGTGAAACTATTTTAAATATCAATAACAATAATATAATATGCTAATATGTTAATATGGCTGGACTGATGCTAATCTTATTTCCTAAACAATGGAAACTCAGGAACCTATAGATGCATAAAATATCAATCCTCATAGCCATCTCAGACTCCTATCGACATATCTGTAAAAGTTTCAGAAAAAAAGGAAAAGCTCAGCGTCCAAGAACAAAGAGCTAGAGCTTCTACACGTAGAATGATCTCGGAACCTATAGATGTATAAAATATCGACATATCTGCAAAAGTTTCAGAAAAAAAGGAAAAGCTCAGCGTCCAAGAACAAAGGGCTAGAGCTTCTACACGTAGAATGATCTCGGGCTTCATCAGTAAAGTAAAGCCCAAAGGGTATAGTCTAATCTTAAATCTCTAAGTAAAATAAATAACTCTCCCCAGTTACCGAATAATTCAATAGAGTTTATTCTTAAGCTTGTCGTTAAAGTATCGTAAAAAGTGGGAAGCAAAATTGTACAGTAGAATTCGCTTGCTTAGACTACAAGTGCTGGATGTTTACAATGCTATATTTGGTCTACTACATTTACATTGGGCCTAGAACCTAAACGCGACTTAGACTTAGACCTAGTAAATTAAATTTTAGCTGCTAGGCCAGCAATATTTACAAAATTAAGAACAGCGTTGAGCTGTCCTAGAAGTAGACTGTCAGATTGTTTTCGGAGGAGCCCATCGTATCAGAGGCGGCCATGAGATTGGAACCAGCTCCGGCTGCACTGCCATTGGCCGTCGTTGAGATGGTTGTCACGCCTCCTGCAACAGCAGCCATCGTCTTGCGATTATTGTTCTCCGGCGTCGTCTGATGTTGTTGCTGCTGCTGTTGTTGGCCCTGCTGCGAGAGGGAGTCGTGCTCGATTTCGTCCTCCTCGTAGAGCTGTCCGTTGGCAGAGGCGCGCGATACGATGCCTGGCAAGAAGACTATTTATAGTGAATGCCCTGGGCTTCTGGGGATAACGGGGGGGTAATTAGACACAACTTACTGCGCACCGTTGCCGCATAGCTTTCCCGTTGACGCTCTCGCTCCCGTTCGCGCTCCCGCTCCAACAAGTTGCTGGCACTACTCAGCGCCATGCTGCTGCTGGCGCCGCTAGCCACATGATGCAGCCCGTTGTTGATTGGATTTGCCATAGTGATGTTGCTGCTAGGATGCTTCATATGCAGCACTGAGACACCACCGCTGGTGACGCTGGCGCCGGCGCCAGCACCATTGCCGTTGCCCGCCAGCTTTTCGTGCGTCACTAAATTCGCCGAGGAGACGCTACTGTGCGCTTGGCTATGTACACGATTGCGTCCCAGGCTCAGGCCGCCAGGGCTGCTCTTGCGCTGCTTCTTCGAGCGCACAATATAGCAACTGAGTGCCATGATGATCAACAGAAACAGGCCCACAATCATTCCAAACATGCCCAGCATGCTGTTATTCCAGGCCGAGTGGGCGAGAGTAAGTCCCTCCATGGTAACGCTCACAGGCACGGAGGTGCTTCTCGGCGGTACACCCGAATCTGTGGCAATGGCAATCAGATGCACCGTGGACTCGTTGAGACTTTGCAGCTGCTCCGGGCGCATATAAATGTTGCCCGTCGCATCGATCTCGAAGAGGCCCGCATGCTGCCCACGAAGCGATAGCTCCAGCTTGTCATTGCGATCTCCGTCTGCTGCCTCCACCTTGCCAATTAGTACACCCTCAAAGGAGTCCGTGCGTGACTGCAGCGACTGCTGGAATCGAAAATTTAAATTAATTTCAAGTGCTCCTCTAAGATCTCAAACTTACACTCTTGGGCACCATGAATTCGTAGTGTGTCTCGCGGAAGCGCGGTTCCCAGTCGTTGACATCAATCACTTCCAGCGTGACGTCAGCGGAGGTGCTGTTGGTCAGGCCATCGCTGGCTATGACCTGGAACTCATGTTTGGTCATCTTTTCATAGTCCAGCGGCTTGGCTAGCACCAGTTCACCCAGGGAGCCAACGCTAAAGAACTGCGAATTGATTGGATCGGCAATGGTGTACTTCAGATGTTTCCCAGGCTTGTTGGTGGGCAGTGCCAGAATGCGATTACCCACGGCCGTGTCCTCGCGTATGCGCATAACAAAACGCTTCTGGACAAAGGCGAGTGTGCTGAGATCGCTGTGTGTGCCGGGCCGGGTTAGCTGCACTGTGGTCAGGGCGTACCGATCCGGATTGTCTATCTGGGTGGCCTTCACCACCAGAGTGGCGCCGTGCGTAAGATCTGCATAGCCAATGGGCGCGAGCAGCGTGATGATGCCATTGTGCGGATGTACGCGAAAGTATTTCGCGTCCTGCGATTGCACAATGTTGTACTGAATGGGTGCACAGATGCCCTCGTCCTGATCGATGGCTTTCAGTGGTTCGGGGCGCATGCGTAGCTCGCCGGCGCGACCATCGGCGGGCAGCTCAGCGCTATAGGATTCACGTAGAAACTTCGGATTCTGATCATCCGCATCGGTGATGACCACGCGCAGCAGTGTATCCGAATGTCGCGGTGGTGTGCCCTGATCCTGGGCACGCAACTTGACTGTGAAATTTTGCAGCTGCTCATAGTCTAGTGCCTTTTTCAGAACCAGTGTGCCCTCGAGAGGATTCAGAAACTGCACCAGCTCCGCATATGGACCGGGTAGAACCTGATACTCCACCGTGGAGAACGGTCCCGGCTGATCGGCATCCTCGGCACGGGCACCCTGGAGTATGCGTGTGCCCGGCACCGTCACCTCGGATAGGGTCAGCGTGTAGGGTGTGCCAATCCATTGTGGTGCATTATCGTTGACGTCCGTGACGCGAACATTGACGGGAACAACGAAGCTCTGCAACAAAGAACAAAGCCAGCGAATTGATTGAGAGTTGGGCCCAGGCAAAGATAAACACCTTCAGAGTAAACAATAGGCAAGTGCTGGTCAGTGACCCCAAAGCGAGTTCAAAGCGCCAACCGCTAAGGACCAAGGATTCCAGTGCTCCCCTTTACATTGCCCGCCCATAAAGCACTGCATATATTTGCATGTTTAGGGCTCTCGAAGCAACCCCCAAAGAACTCCGGAAGTACTAATGGCTAATTTATGGCCACTGCCTGGGCCCAGACGACGAACCGGCCCAACCGCAGGCCGTCGTCCTCGTCAGCACGAAGTGCAAGTAAAAGTTAAGTTGGCTTCTGTTTTGTTGATTCTAAAATTGAAATAGGCGTCGTTGTCTAAAAAGTTTTCAATTGTTTATAGAGTACAAGAAATAGCCGCAACTTCTGCATACCTACTCCCAACGCCAATCAGGCTATATGCGAGCGTGAACATTCCGAATCGTGTTTACCCAATTTCATTTAACAACCTCACTTGTACTTGTACTTCGAGATTACGCCCCTTCTGCGGCGGCCCAGCACACGCACACCCAACGTTCGTCCAGAGGGAAGAAAACTGGAGCCGGCTTCGATATAGGTTAATTGGATTGGCCATTACCAACTGGTCGAGTGCACCGCACGAACGAAAGTTCTGCAGGTGCTGAATGCGGCTAAGAAGTTGTTTCCAAGAATCGCCGGGGAGCACCCGATGCCAACCTTTGGTTGGGGCTAATTAAAATGGTCACTAGGTTTCATTGATTGAACCTTTCTTTAATTTTTGTGTTTCTAATAAAGTATTGCCAGCTGTGAAACACCCTCGTAGCCTAAATAGAATTAACCTATGCCTAAGCTCCAAGAATTTCATTGATTTAAACTGTAATTTTTATGTTTCTGTTTTAAAAAACGATTTGGTAATTTTGATTTAATGGATATGTAAAATAGTATATCCTTTAAACATATAATATTCGTTCGACGGTTGAGGTATATAAACTACGTATGCTTCCTTATGTTGGGTAGAGGAGAGCAGGTCAAGAGCTTATTTCACTGTTCTGTACATCGCATACAGAAATGTTTCTGTACGCCTTACTATGTGATTCTCATGAATTCAAGTAGGACGCGTCTGTTTTTTCCTTCGATTATAAGTGTGTGTGTTAACAATCTAATGAACTTTATCATTGCTATTATTTTTATGCATTCTCTCCATTTTTTTGTCTATATTTTATTTTATTGCTGATGTTCTTGCTCCTGCTCTTAGTAGAGCTGTCTACTATAAAGGTATGTCGCCATCTTCCTAATAGACACAAATAAAATAGCCGTTTGTTGGGATATTTAAAGTAAACCAATTTAAAGGAAACACATCTAGATTTATGGGGTCACATGCATTAAGAAAACTGATTTTAAAGAGCTGGAAATTATCGAATATGATTTTTCCAAGTCTATACGTAGCTCAGGTAACTGCTGCTAATTCAACTTACCGGATCCGTTGAGCGTCTTCGTATACATATGACATTTACATAGATCGACGAGGGTCCTTTTAGACCCTCCTTGTCCAGCTCTACGGATAAAGCCAAGTCTTTGGTGCCCGCCACAATCTCCACGGGAGCGTTCTTCTCTCTTAGCGACAAATTAATGTCACCAGTGTCTGCATTGGGATCGCCATTAATGCGCAATTTACCAATTATGGAGCCCACCGCCAGATCTTCAGTGGCTAGAAAACTCTCCGCTGAACCGCCGCCCTCCAGATAACATCTGGAGTCGAGTATCGCTCCTTTTGCGGCTGCAATGAAAATAAAAATAGAACAAAGTGAAAATGTGCAACTCGCATTCTACTCTCTCCCTTTCAGCTTTGCTCCATTTTCTTGTTCGCAAGCAATTTGCGAGCTTAAAGTGAATTGTATCAAAATCGCATCAGAGCAGGTCCAGTGTGTTACACTGTCCAACGGCGGACATGTTTGTTCGTACTTTCGATGCGCTCTACTAAGCTTCCGTTTATCTCTCACTCTTTACCGAACGGTTCGCTGCAATTTGGATGTGGCGGCTGTCTGCCAAATCCGAGCGATGTTTGCAGGCATGTTTTTGGTTTGTTTTGAAGACCGCCACCTGCCAGTCCAAGTAGATATACGACTACAAACGTGTAGATTTTGAACTGACCGCCCGACAACTGCATGAATCATGGACTGAGGATGCGCTTGTATTGTCTCTGCATTTGCCTTCGTATTTCCGGTCAAGCTCCCGTCTTTAATTGTGTTACTGTGCATTGAGTTTATTTAGCAGTTTTCATATTTATTTGCTTTCATATAAGTTGCTTGTGTCCAAGTGTATTTTAGTCTATATGCAGTTTAATTGCTGTTTTGTGTCTTGATTAAATAAATTGTGTGCATTTGTGGCAACGCCAGTTCGATAAATTGGCAGCGCCACTCAAGAAATTGTTATATGCTAAAATAACTGTCAATTGTTAGTTTGGGTTTGTAAACAAACAATATTCGGCGTTGCCATATAGTATGCATTGGCATGCAAAGACGGCAACACTGCAAAAACTAAACAGTTAGATCGACTGTAGAAAATGAATTGCGTATGGCAAACAAAAAATTGTAAAAGTGTTAAGTGATTTACGCTTGAAAGTACTGTTTACAGTTTAAAAAAACGCATGTGAGTTTAAAATTTGTTCTTTAACTAACAATACTAGTATATAATTCATAATAAACATGCATTCCTTATTTCATATACATAAACTGTTTTTGGTTAATTTTTATGTTTGTACTTTTACGAAACACTACATATGTATGTATGTATGTATGTATGCATGTATGCATGTATGTATGTATGTATGTTCGAGAACATGACATAACACCTTTTCGTAATTACAGCTTACGAAAATTAATTAAATGAAAAATACCAGAGCTGTGCAGTTGTTTCTCATAAAGTGAGTGTTCCGGTTATTTTGGAAAAACTAGTTCCTCTGCCTTGGTTAATATATACATACATAAATATGTGTTATGTTTTTGAACAAAAACGTTCTGGTAAGTGGTTTCAAGAGCAAAATGCTAGGGTTCAGCATATGACCCTGACGAGAATTTCTCTTTATACATACATGTATGTATGCATGTATGTGTGTGTCTGTACAAAAGCTGTGGACACATCTGACTGGTGGTGGCGGATGATATACTGACAGCTGTGGTGAAATCTTCTAGCTCGTTTTTGTCTCGTCTCAGTTTCAAGATCTTTATTGTAGGTTAATTGTTGTGTGGCATTGGGCAATGCTTATGATAATATCGTATGTAGACTTTCTTTGACAATTAAATTAAATTTTGTAAATCAGTTAAATTGCCAGTTGCAATTATATTTTCAGATTTATTTATAAATAAGTTAATGCCTAAAGATATCGTGATAAATCACGTTTGCTCAAAACACTTTCCTAACAAAATGGAAAGTGCTTTTATAGGCAATACGTGTGTGATCTTATGTTATTTTATATTATTTAAATGAAATGTGGAGAGAAAGTCCTTTAGTTCGCCGCCAATCTAGATAATACCATTAAACTCACACAATATACGATAGAACTATTTGTAAAACAGCAGTGCGATTTGATATGTTTAAATTCATTTTAGATTTAGATACATATAGTTTTTGATTATTATTGCATAACTGCAAGCTGGGCCCATTAATTAGTTGTACATTTTGTATAAGGCAAAACTAATTGGAGTCGCCACAAAAACCTTACTAAATCCACCATATAGGGTTCAAATATCTGAAGCGTAAATCCGCGAAAGCAGTTGGATATAATATCGAGAGCATTTTCATTGCCCGAAAAGTCATTACATAAACTTCAAGTGTTTGTTTTTGTTTTTTTTTCGCAAAGAGTTGGCGTATAATAAAGTAACTAAACGAAAGTGACTACACAAAATAAATAAAACAAACAAATTCGGGCAAATATGCATGTACCTATGTGAAAAGCCGCCCACAATAAATATTATGAATACATTTGCGCAAGAAGCAGCAGAGAGAGAGAGAGAGAGATAGATAGAAGAGTTTTAGTACTAGAGAAAGAGACACACTTGGTTAGATGGGCAGGGAAAAGTTTCAAAGTTACAACAACAACAACAACAACAACAAAAAACAAAGTTCAAAAAACAAATTTGTACACTTTAGTTGTATGCAATCGGGTTTTGTTTTGTTTTGGGTTTCTTTGATCAATTTTCGTTCAGCTTGATGATTTTGATGAAAAATGAAATGTTTCGCTCGACGTATATTTGAAACTGACTTTTGGATTTGAATGTAACTCGTGTCTGTTGTGGTTAAAATTGCCGTAATCGTAAACTAGTAGCTGTCTCTGATTGTCGACGCAACTCCATAAGTTCTATACGGTTAAACAAGATAAGCAGACGCAAATTTTGCAATCAATTTGTGGCACAGGTCAAGCCGACGAACCGGCAAAGACAAAGACTGTGACAAATGCCATTAAAGAATTTGTAAACTGGCCGAGATTCTACCAGTTCTACGCAATCAGTGATGTATGACAATGTAATGAACCGAAATTAATGCACTGTATAGAACTGAAAAACTGGAACAGTTGGTAAATAACTTTAAGATATATGGAACAACTTAATGGCCGCTCCGGTGCCCGAATTGTGTTCGAGTTGAGCTCTGCTCCAGAAAACGTTCCAAACGCTATTTGCATAGTCGTAGACCCCCCATTGAAGAGCTCTGTTTACGTTTCGTTTATCCGTAAGTCACGTAAATAGTTTTATTCGTCATAAATCGTTGGACCAGAACCGCCAGCCGCCGTTGACGTGTTTTCAGAGTCTTTAGGTTTTCTTGTATAGCTTTTTCTCTGCTGTACATTTATAGAGTCTGCACAACGTCATTTACCTTATGGAATTTCACTATTTTGCAGTTTGTTAGCTTTTACTTATAAGGTTACATGCGGCTAATTGCTTTGTTTGTACGGAAAACAAGAGTTAACGCACAAATTCCAGCAATCACATTCAGAAATGTCAAAAACTGAAAAGAATTTGCTGCTAATTTTGAAAACGAGACCACTTAAAATATGTTCTCCTTGCAAGTTGTCAACTTACCACAAGCAATCCAAGAAATTCCACAAATTGTATAGTATAAGGCATAAAGTTTTATCCACATTTTGTGCGCTGGTCTCGTACTGACCTTTCAAATCGAATTGTATATGTATGTACTTGAATCATACGGATCATACGGGTCTATCCTTAAATTGGCTCAGCTTATAATTGAGCATAATTCAGGCAATTTTGAGGTTTTTTATTTATTGTATATATTTTATTTTAATTATGTTGTAAACTTCACACTTTTGCTGGCTTTTGCTCTTTAGATGTATGTTTGGAATACTTGTTGTTATTACACTTTTTTTTGCATATTCTACGTTCACGTTCACATTGTTGATTTGCTTTAATTTCTGCTCTTTTTTTCACACGAGTTCTTTTTCAGTCCCTTGACTGCTTTATAATTCCATATCACCGATGTGCTATAAACGTTTTACATGTGGAATTTATGCGCAGTTCGTTTTTGTTTCAAGCCTTATTCCGCACCTGCGATGATTACCAAGGTATATACATATAAAATGGGTCTGTAATGTGATCTGACCTACAAAGTGTGGGAGGGCTGCGCTAAACGTTTGTCAGTCTGCTGGATATATAGAGATAGAGATGAAATGACAGAGAGAGAGAGAGAGAGAGACGTCTAGATTATTACAAGATTATTAGCCAGACAAAACATTTTAGCACAGAAACCAAAACAACTGGAACATTAGCCGACCTCCCAACCGCCCAACAGTTCTTCTTGGCTTGTGCCACAAATGTCGCACACATGTCAACCGAGTTGTTCTTGGTTTCTTCATGGTGTTTCCCTTGGTTGGTTGCCACCACATTGGCTTTGTTGTTAGCAGTCGGCAATTGGCGGCATTTTACCTAACAGTCACTTATTGTCTGGCATTTGTTGCTGTTTCCTTGGTTCCGGCATGCCCGCATATTTCTGTGCTATGTACAAACATTTTTGCCGCCACTCGGCGCCCAACAGCAGGAGACTCGGCCAGCAGCGCTTCCTTATGCCACCGTTGACCGTTGTGTGGCTGGTATCTCAGCCAGATTTATGGCATGCCGGGAGGACGCCAACAAAACTGTGGCTGCAAATACCTCGCTGGCCGTTGGCCGTTGGCCGTTGGCAGTTTGGGCGAAAATGAAAACGCTTTTGACCGGAAGTCGCGGAAGCGCACGTTAAGAGTCATTCACCTGGGTAAAACCCTATTTGCATTTTCCCGTATATGCAGCGGGTTTTCGGACAACAAGATTTCCCATCAGGTGGTGTCCAAAGGATTGCATTGAATTTAGCATAGGAATTAGTTGTGACAGGAGGAGAGTGAAAGAGTTTGGAAACAAATCGATTGAAAATCAAGCTCAAAAGTTGACTTATAATTCAAATCACTTTATGTATATCTATTTGGCCACTTTAGCCCTTCCTGTTAGGTCAAAGGATTGGCGAGAGTCATTTATGTTGTCTACCAGCAACTGGTCTGTCATACATCGAAGAACTTTGAAATTTACTCATCATTTTTATGTAGATTGTCAATAGAAAACACAAAAAAAATATCTGACAAATATGTATTATGTATAGAAAATAAACACCGAAATTACTCGCAAATATTTCGAAAGATGCATCTGTATTTAAAAATGCGTTAACTTAAGAGTTATTATAATTGTTTTTTTTTTCCACACTCATTATTCGTTGAGGATCTGTTTAGTTTTATTTACTTCTTCAGATTTTGATTTGTTCACAAATAAGGCTTATATCCAGAGTCATTCGCTGCGTAGCGTTGCGCGTTTAGCTACTCGAACTACACATGCGGCCACATCACGTTCCGAACACAAACTGATTTTCCATAATGTTGCCAAAGCAGGGAATGCCCCCTAACAACCGGGCAGAGGCAACATACAACAGCAACAGCAACAGCAACAGCCTGTAATGCCGGTGCGTTTGCCTCAGTTGTTGTTGGCCGTATACCCTATACCATGAGGAGTACATATATGATGAGCGTCGGTTGCGTCTGAAGACTCTCTGGGTCTGGGTTGTATGTTGCATTTTTGCTGTTGCTGTTGCTGTTGCTTTTGCTCGATTTAGCTGTTGTTGTTAGTGTGTTGAAAATGTTTCCACATCACTCGTCAAGCGTTTCCATTTGAGCTCTTCATAAAAAGAAACAACAAAAAACGTAACGAACAAAAAAAAAAACAGCAACAACAACAAGAAATGTTGGCTAGCAGTGGTTGAAAGCAGATACAATGACTACCATGGCGACTACGCGCACGCGCCCATGCTCAGATGCCCAAATTGCGACGCTCAATGGGCCAGTCTGTATGGAGCTGGGAGCTGGTAGCTGGGATTGCTGTTTATAGAGGGCACGAGCTCGCACTTCTTTTCGCTGTCTATAGGCTTCTTTGGTGCTCGACTAACCCTTAGTTTCGGATTCACCTGTATCTTCCGTTGTCAAATAAACCGCTGCGTTGCGCTCGACTGAGCCGGCACTTGGAACCCCTATGACCAGGGAGAGGCCTTTTCGACTGGCTCTCTGTTTACATTGCAATCTCTCGCCTTGGCAACCAAGGCGTCCTGGCCATACCCGAGCCGGTGTGTTGCTCCTTTATGTGCATGTGCCATGACTCAGTGACATTGCATTTGCATTTGCATGCCGTTAATTGCTGTAATTCGAACTGGACGACGACGGGTTCTCCACACATAATTGCGCTGCGTTGGTTGCGAGCTCCCCTTTAAGCAGTTATATGCTTTTTTTTTATGTTCAAAGGAACGTTTTCCTGTACAGTTTCGTGTTGGCTTTACATAGTTTTAAGTGGTTTTTGGGCCATGCTTTCATACGATTGTTCTCAACGGTTTTTGCTTTCCTCGTGACAGCAGGCGACACTTTTGACTTTTGACTTACTTTATGGCTAGCGGGTCGATTATGCTTGCTTTATTGGGCTTTAAATAAGTATTTCTGGAATTTTTAACATGTCAAAGGTTTTAATGGTTGTGCAGGACACTTTACACCTACATGACTCGAATGTATGTGCTTAAGTATTGCTGAGCTACAATCAGTAGATCACATATTTATTTAAAATGCCTTTAATTTAAGAGTAGTTTTTTGGCACTTGCTACGGGGGTTTTATTAAAGGATTTTGGCTTAAATTGGTACTAATTTCAGCTTATGCATTAGAATCAGTTCAATACTTTAATTTATATACTAAACTTCATGTGCTGCTCTATAGCTCTGTGTGGCTGCGCTTGTTGTATAAACGCTCACAGAGCCGTGCCAGAGCCTGCGATACTTCCAACCGATACTCATCCTGGCTGTGTGCGAATCTGTTGCGCATGGTGAGCAGTGCATGTCGCAGAGCCGCACTTTGTGACCAGAGTGGTTGGCACAGACTGTTGGTGTTCTCTAGACCATCTGTAAATTGTTCCACGACCTCCGGTTGGTCCAGTAAGTGCACATAATCCTTGCTGAGCACTGCCTCTAGGGTGTCACAATACCCGTGTGATGGAAGCCACGACTCAAACTCTATAAGCACATATTGCGCCAAAGTAGAGACGGCATCCGACGACTCTTTGCTAGCTTCGATCACATATCGCTTCTCCAGCACCAAGTCGCTAAGCAGTGTAACCACTTTGGCCTTAGTGCGCAGCTCTATCTCTGTGCTGCGCAGGACACCAATCAGTGCCTTTGTGCCCGATGTGGACAGGATGCGTTGCTGGGCCAATGGAAACTTGCGCAATAGCGCACCAAACGCATGCATGGCCGAAGAGATTTCTGAGCTACTGGTCGAGGACATGAGGATTTGTGCCAGATGTGAACCGAAATTGCGTTCAAAGACCTTAATTTGCGCCTTGGGATTGTTGCCGGCCAGGGCGCCCAAAACACGCATCGCAGAAACACGCAGATCTGCGTTGGTATCGTTCACCACAATAGGGAGGAGGACATCGTCCAGCCCACCACTATCAATAAAAACGAGAGCATTGTCAATCTGATGCAGCAAATACTCAAGATTCTCCAGAGTATTCAGCTTGGCCTTCAGCTCCGACTCTAGGGGCGTTTTGCTAAAATTTCGATATTGTTCTATTAGCTGAACGATTAGCTCGCCGTCAGTGCGAAAGTTCTTTTGGAAATCCTTATAGGCTTTGCGCAGTTCCGCATAGCTGCGTTCTTGCTTCACCTTGCGCACCGACTCTTCAATGATGTCCGCTTTGTACTCCAGCGACAGCGGTTCATTTGTGGATCCTGCATCGTCGTCGCCGGATTGATTCTGAATTGCAGTACTACGTTCGCTTTCATCCAGTAACTTGGCTTCCTTAAGACCTGTCTGCAGATTAATGCGCACGTGTAGTCCCTTCGGTATGGCCTGACCTGAAAGATTATTGCCATTAATGGTAGTTCAACTGATTGGTACACGTAATAAAAACCTTCGGCTACCACCTGCCATTCATCTGTGGCAATGAATTCGGCGGTTTTGTTTACATGCTCTGATGTTGACACTTGCAGGCAGCCGAGCGCCAAGACAGCGGCTATTGTTGTGTATACGATGGAAATGTGCATTTCTTCAGATTCTAATATATATATACTTTATTCCTGAATATAATCTCGACTAAATATTCTGCGGTTATTCCGGCTTTCGTAAAACGTCGACATGCTGCCAGTGTTGTATAGTGAGATGTTTGAAGCTGACGTATCGATAGCAGTGTTATCGATGTGTCACCGAGACTTCTTTTAAACAGTCTGGCTACGCCATGGCTATCTTCAAGTATTTTTCTTAACTGTCTGGCCAAACCATATTTAATATCCGTTATAATAAAATTCGTTTGATTTGCATACAAACATATAAACCAGCCATTTCGTTTTACACTTAATTTGTGTATTTAGTATATCAATTAATTACCATGTCAAAGTCATGACAATGAATTAAAAAGACACACTTGTACAATTATTGCTTAGTGTCACTTTTCATCTGTTCCCAATGTGCCTAAACTGGTTTCCTTTGATACTAGAAATGTATATCAGTCATTCTGTACGTCACTAGCATATAGTATTAATATTAATAGCTTCTCTAATACTATTAATTCATGCAAATGAATTCATATTTCGAGCGCCAATATCAATAAAACACGGGCGACTTTACATAAATGATTTGGCAAATTTTTGTTTTGTTTTCATGTCTATTAATTGTAATCGACGATCCCATCAAATGAAAACTACGAAAGCGTCACGGAATTTGTTCCCTAAACAAAATAAATGCCAAAAACTGGAAAAAATGTATGCGTATTTACATTTATTCAAATGGGTATGCATATGAAGTCATATGGCTGTGGCGCCAATTGGAGGTGTAAATAAACAAATTGCAGGCAATGTTTTCATATATCTGGCTACAGCTGTACAATATGCTAAATACCGATGACGAATGTTCGAAGACTTCAGCAATATTTGCCAAACGTATGAGGGCATTTTGTGTTTAAACGTCGCATGCCAATAGTTTGAAAGTGAGGCCATAAAATTCACAAGTTGTGCGACAACTTTTTTTTTTGTTCTTGCTAAATTGCCAAACCAGTCTGTCACCCACTATCGTTAATGATTATATTTATTTCTAATTGCTGCTGTCGGTGGGGAGTGCGGGCCTTTTAAATAGATCTGCTCTTTAATGATGATCACTCGAAACGGAAATTCCTCAACTTGTCTGCGATTTGGCCATTGTTAAATAGCTAATCACCTTGAGCTGTTACGAGCACACGTTTTGTTAGTTTTCTGCATGCTTAGCTTTGGCAAATGATTAGCTGATAAATAACTGATCAAGTCTTTAGCTGGTTCCATCTAATGACTTCTTGAAACTAGAATAGACTATCTACAAATTATCTAAATGCTCGGCATGATCTCAGCTTAATTAACTGTAGCAAAAAGCATTTAACATGCATGTCAGAGCATTTAACACTTGCCAAATTTCGGATGAAACCCCAAGTGAGCCTCTCGCCGTATCCCATGTCCGAAATGCAACGCTGATGTCAACGCAAATACTAAAAATACAAAACATACCTCTATATATTTATATAGTATGTGATTTATTTGTGTTTTGCCATTGCCATTCTTTGGAACAATGCAAAAGGCAAACAATAATATTGACATTTAGATAGATATACATATATAATAATCGGTATATTGGTATTCAATATCATGTATATCAAACATTTTAAATCTTTTTAATTAGGTAGCTGTAATTGTGAATAATTTTATTTAAATTACGTTACATTGTTTTATTGATAATTTCTAAAAATTGTATAGCTTTTTATTTCATTTAATTTGGGACCATTTAATTTATTTGCCTTTGAATTTCGTAGATTAAATATTTCCAGAGGACAAGAAAAGTTTATAAAATAAGATAAATCGAGTTACTAAATAATTATTAAACTAATTTACTTATACTTAATTTTGGTCTACGCTCTAGCCTCAAAATAGTTGAAAAAAAGCAGGGTATTAGCAGTTCGGCGTTAACTACTAATGCCATTAAAGACATTTAAAACTAGCCAGCGAAACGGGCATTAAAATGTAGAAAATCACTTTTGATTTTGTCGCTGTTTTGTTTGTTCTTATGACACTGCGGGACCTGTTAATAATATTAATTATTAATATTCTTGTCATCGTTGCTATGTTTTGTTGTTGTTGTTGTCGCCGCCAGCGCGTCGAACTGCGAATTCTCTATCGTGACGATGAGAAGCCCGAAGCCAAAAGCCACAGCAACAAGAACAACAACAGCAAAAAAAAAACAAAGCAAAAAAAAAGCGATGCGAAGCGAGACAAGCTAAGAATGAATAAACTATTTAATGTATTGGCTGAATCTGATCGGTGGTCGCTTCAGAGCGAGCTCTGAAAAAAAGTCTATAAATGGCTGCGTTTGTCCAGAGCCAATTTACAGTATAGCATTGAACTTGGTCGGGAGTTCGCGGAAAGCAGCGCGTCCGCGTCGTAGCCGCCAAATAATTAATTTCTGCATTCAGTTAAGAGAGTTTTGAGCGTCCGTTTCGCCTAGCATAAAGATGCTCCTGTCGCTGTGTTCCGCTTTGCTGTTCGGCCTGGCACTAGGTGCCAGTGGTGCCTCCAATTTCCGTGAGTCCAGTACGAGTGCCAGTGCGTCGAATAAGTTTTTTTGATTTCGCTTTGGCATCGTTTTAGCTGCTGAGCTGCCCCGTTGTCATTATGGCGACACCGACTGCATCATCAATGTGTCTCACAGGCTGATTCGTCAATATGCGCGCACGGGCTATGCGCCCGCGGCCTTTCCACAGGTGGAACCGTTCCTGGTCAAGCGCTTTGACATCTCGGATGGACGCACCGGCTCGCTGAGCCTGAAGCTCAACTTCCGCGATGTCAACGTGGAGGGCTTGTCCGGTGTTAAGTTTGACAGGGCCGTGTAAGTTGTCGAGTATGACATATTTGTAGCTATATATTATAATCGATCTGACTATATATATAATTGACAAACGCAGTGGGTTTGGCACAAATCCGGCCAGCAGCAAGTTTGAAATGTACGGCTCCTTCCCCAAGATTGTGCTGCGTGGCAAGTACCTTGCCGATGGACGTATTCTAATCCTGCCCATACGCGGCGATGGCGATGCTGATATTACCCTGCACAATCCCAAGTTTTCGGTCAAGTTCAAGCCGGGCACACAGTCGCGCAACGGACGCACCTATCTGAGCGTGGACAAGCTCAAGGTGCTCGTGGAGCCACAGAAGTAAGTTGAGAGCGGATCAAAGGTTATACACAATTAACTGCAAATTGTGTGATTCTTGCCAGAATGAACATAAAGCTGACCAATCTCTTCAATGGCGACCAAGCGTTGGGCAACAATTTGAACCAGTTTCTGAACGAGAACTGGTCCGAAGTCTGGAGCGAGCTGCAGCCCTCGGTGCATGTCGCCATTTCGGATATTATGAAAAACATTCTGGCCACTTTGTTCAAGCGTTTCGCCTACGAGGATCTGTTTTTGGAGGACTAAAGCGCCGCGCCCGGAATGTGACAGACCTTAATATAGACGTAGATTTATATCTTTAGCTATTAACGTGTACGTGTACGAGTATTTTTCTTCACAAACATATTATTCGATGGACTGTTTGCTGCTCAGGCAACACTTAAATACATAAGTAAAGATTTTAGCTTAACAAATAATTAATAAACAAACATAATAATTGATATTAAAAAACATTGCCTATATAAGTACGGGTCAAAGGGCTAAAAATAAGTTGTCGAAATGAATAGTATATATATTTGTATATATTGGGCCAACTATTATCATCTATCTATTCAGCTCAGAGACTGGAGGACCTGTTGAACCAGAAGCAAATCGAGTTCATCTTTGATCTTTGACATTCTCCCGTACGACTTCCCCTTATTTCTTCCTAAAGCCAATTTTCTCTGTTGTTATTTGCTATGCATATACAATGTTATATAGTGCGGAGCATTCTTAGCTATTTTGTTTTTGTTTTGACCAAACATTTCCGCAAAAGCTGTCGCATAAATTTGGCCAAAGATTTGGGAGCCAATTCACGTGATTGGCTACATTTGCATACAAATACGACGAGCACATTTCAATTTAAATCTCAGCTCACTTGACGTCAGTTTTCACAATTTTTTCTTGTTGTTGTTTTTAATTCATTCACTTATTTATTTATTTTTAGTGCAGTCTCGCTGAGCAGCACTTGTAAGCAATCTGTCGGCTAGCTATTAATATAGATACGCATAAATAAAAGATACAAAAACCGCTGCCAAGTTCAAGTGCAGGCAACGGTAAACGGACAAAGTTGGGGCAACTGATAGCCAGTTAACCTTGGGGCTATGCGCAAAATCTTCCATGTAAGCCGCCCGAGTCAGTCAACTGTTCGATGGATGCTTGTTATATGTATGTATGTAAGTGTACACTATAATCAAGTTGAGCAGCTTTTTTGTATTGTCGTTTGGGATCAGGAGGCTGGTTCGAGTACAAAGGTTAACTGGACAATCGAGTTGACTATATATTTAGCTATGCCTTAGTTTATGCATAATTAAAAAAAAAAAGAAGCTATTTTTTTGAGATCACTTCCATTAACCGAGGGCGGACTCCCTTGCCAAAAAGTTGCACCGTCATGCTGTTGGCTACTTAATGCGAAACTCGTTTTAGTTTTATGTCGGAATAATGTAGACACAAAATTGGGAATTGTTTGTTTGTTGGCCAGACAGTATGTTGTACCAAGAGTATCTTCAATTCATGCGTATAAACAGTTTGAAAATAAATCAGAAAGATTTGTATGTTATCTTGAAAGTAATAGAGAAATCAATTTTACGAACCTTCGTCGTTGACTGTAATTTCTTGACTAATATCAGTGCGATATTGGAGAAACTCCTTGAATGACTGACATGCCTCGTGCCTTAAATACATCAATTATATCCGATTAAATAATTAAGGCATTAGAGTACAGTATGTAATAGTACACTGAGAGTTGCATTTTTAACTTGCAGCTAAGATAAATATTTAATATGTTGGATTCGATATTTTTTGTCTCTTTTTATATCTGAACCCATTAAAAATGGGTATAAGGGTATATTGTATTTGTATGTAACAGGCAGAAGGAAGCATCTCCGACCCCATAAAGTATATATATTCTTGATCAGCATCAATAGCCGAGTCGATCTAGCCATGTCCGTCTGTCTGTCTGTCCGGCTGTCCGTATTTATGAACCCTAGGATATATTATCATATATCGTTCGTTTAAATCAAATATTTATAATATCTGCATCAATAAGAAATAACTTCTGAAAGTTCGGGGGAACTGTTTTATGATTTAAAAGCTCTAACTCGTATCAAATGGACTCTTTCTTTTCTCTAAGTGAGTTTTTGATATGGAGCCCATTAAAATGCTGATACTACCATGGCTGTCAATAAGGCTTAGATCTTTAGATCGCCCTTAACAGCTCCAAATACGAAAACTATATAATCACTATGATTTAAACTGGTTATATTAGTTTACGGGGTTAGAATAACTGGATACACACGAGATGCTTAGTGTATTTCATTTTATAACATGTTGTGTAATATATTTCGGTTAATGTGCTACAATTTACTTAGGCACTCAACTGGTATAAAAGCTAAGAAACAATCGAGAAATAATTTAGTTGCTGCGGTGATTTCATATGAATAACTTTACAAATAAGATTGCATAGTGAAAATGTCGCGAATTATTTTCATCGTCGTATTCTGTACAGTTCTCGCGGTGCAAGCCGAGTTCCGTAAGCAAGGATCATTATTCCTAAATGATTCCTTGTTAATTTTACCAATCCATAGCTGATGATCCCAAACCTTGTAAATATGGGGATTCCGGGTGCATCGTGAAGATGATTAACTATTTGATCAGGGAAAAGGCAATGCAGGGCGACCATGAATTTAATTTGGTAAAACTTGATCCTCTGCCAGTGGCCAAGATGAATATAAAACAGGGCGCGGAAAGTCCAGTCAACATTGATTTAACGTTTAAGGATAACCAACTTCTCGGTATAAGCAAAATGAAGTTCCGTAAAATCAAGTAAGCTGCGAATAAAATCATAGACCTAATGAAATTCAAGTAAAAACCAATGCATTATTTTGAACGCAGAGGTTTCGGTAAGGATATTGCCGGAGGACACGAAATTCTGTTCAACGCGGGTAAACTATCCCTGGTAGGACCCTACAACATCAAAGGCAAGGTACTTATACTACCCATTAGCGGTACTGGTAAGAGCAACATGACATTGGGTAAGCTACATTATAACCGAAATACAACAGACAAATAGCAATTAATGTTCTCATTAGTCAACTGTGATGTTGTGTTAAGCTTTACGGGCAAACCATTTGAGAAGAATGGCGAAACCTACATGGAGGCATCCAATCTGAAAATTATAACTAAACCCGAGCGCATGTATTACTACTTCACCAATCTGTTCAATGGCGATAAGGCCCTGGGTGACAATATGAACGCGTTCCTCAACGATAACTGGGAAGCCATATTTCAGGAGGTAAAACAGTCGATGGAATCAGCATTCGCGGATATATTCCAAACAATTATTACGGGTGTCTTTTCAAAGTATCCTTATGCTAAGTTCTTTGAGGAATGAGTTCCATTTTAGTGCCTATGTTTGTTGTTCACTTTTTGTATATTTAAATAAAGAGTATTTTTATAAAACAATAAATCCGCCCATTAAAAATAGTTTACTATTGTTCTGCTAACATTGTATTACTCGGCGACCTAGCTGTGAAGTATAATTAACAGCCTTACATTCATTCATTGGAAAGTTGAAAATAAATATTTAAACAAATTGCAGGTAAACAACTCGCGAATTAATAAGTTGCAATTATCATTTATCGCCTTTTGAATTACGGTTATTGAGTAAACTGATCGATTCACTAATTGAGCTTTAGTTCCACCCTGGTTTAGTCAATATATGCAGTTATATTCAGTGCTGCCAGCTATTAAGAGCTAAAAATGGCTAGTATTAGCTTGAAAATCGATGTTGATTTTTTGAGAAGCTTTAACAGTATCGATATAAGTATTATTGTTTTACAGGTTGGCTAACTTATTATTTTTCAATTTTGAATTATATATATATTTTTAATGATGAAACTAAGCATCACCGAGTCATATATATATCTAAAGTTCGCTAAAAGTGGTGTTAGAAAACGCCAAAAATATTTGAGAACACTCGATAAATTTTCCTAAAACAGCCCCTTTAGAAATCCAGATTTTTCGACTAGAAAGCTAAATTGGCAACAAAGTTTTTTTTTATAACTTAATCAAAATAATTGGCAAAGGTTATTTAAATGAATGTCGAGTATTCTCTACTTGAGATATGCTAGATTCATGCACTCGCCGTAAGCCGCTTGCTATTCAACTTATGTTAAAGATTTTATTGAACAGATTTTTGTATTATAATCTAAATAATAAAATCGACACATCAATATCAGGGTAGATACCGATATCGTGGAAAGTCGAGCATTTCAAATTTCTATTTATGAATTGAATCGAACGAAGTAGATAACGATATATCTTATCGAGCTTTTTAAATTCCTGTTGCCTATTTTTGTGGTGCTTGATTTAAAAATACAAAATATTAAATGACGCCCGAAATAATGCTGTGAATTTTTCATTTGCAGCTTCATAAGAAATGCTTAGATACACAAACAAGTTAGACAAAATTCTAATTATACCTTTTATACATTTTGTCGATTTTATGGTAGCCGAACTCTTGGATAAACCAGATCTATGCTGATTCGATTCTCTAAGTGTGAAAAGGAATTTAACAATAAAGAGTGCCCTAGTCGGGAGGGTCCAAAGGGGCATACCAAACATGCTGGCATATATATGTCATTTAAACATATATAAATGTTTATACATATATATAGATCCATAATATTTCACGATTGGGATACCTTACCCGTTCTGCAAAAAATTTAGAAAAAATCACTTTTAGATTTATAATCTTTTGCATTCGTATTTATTATTTTTTCATAATTTATTAGCTTATTAAATTGTTTATCTCGGAGATTATAAATGTTGGAGCCAATTACTTTGCTAAGTAGACTAAGTAGATGTTCAGGCTTTTGATATCGATTCTTATCGATTTTATGAAAACAGGGCAAGTTATCGATAATTTGACATTTACAAACATAAGGACGGACAGACGGGCAGACTGAAAGATGGACATGAAAGACTGAAAGATGGACATGACCTCAATTTACCCTTTTATGTTCGTTAAGTATGAATAAATATTCTTGTTTAGTAAAACAAGTGCAGATATAATAAAACACACGCACAGTATTACGAAATATTGAACTGATTATCAGAAATATTTAAATGTAATCCAAAAGTGATAGATACGAATATCTTTTACGCCGATCGTACTCTTTCCAGAACCTCCGATGTAGACCGCTACTTGCCAACTGAAATGAATAGGCTGTTAGAAAAACTCCTTCAATAATTATTGATACGGCAACTGGATGCTGTAAACACATCAATTAGATTCAATTAAAGAATTAAAGCGGTAGACGAGAGTAGTTTGCCCTCGACTCAGCTAGACCATAATTGGTAAATTGTGATGCCGCACAGAACGGATCCATTTCCTGTTACGATAGAGGGAGCATTTAGTTCCTAACCAAGGCGCGGAGGAAGTCTAAAATTATTAAAACTAGATCAGATTCATCAAAAATATTTAAGACTTCTACTGTACTAAATGTGTCCTGAAACTATTGGCAAATCTCGGTTACATGAAATCGGCCTCAAACTCATTTTTAAAGATCTTTGATTATTTTGATATGATTTACTTTTAATTATTCTGGTTCAAATTAGTTTCCGAGATTCTTTTTGAAAAATTATTTTAAACGTTCTTTAAAAAGTACAAGAGTACAGAGTACAAGCCAATTCGGCGCAAAATGCGAATCGTGATCTTTTGAATAGTTTTTTAATAATTATGTTTTTACGCGATTTTTGGAATTTACACAATTTTGCTTACCATCGGATCGTCTTTGCATTTATTTTAAATCACCCTCCTGACCTCCTGAACCGGGTCTTGACATAAATATCTCATATTAAAATTTAGACGATCTCCCCAGTATCACCCCTTAAGCCTCCCCCTTATAAGTTATCTTTAATTCATTGTTATGTTCTATCATAAATTATTTTGTTATTTTTAGTTTAATTTTCTGATTAGTTTAAGTTGCCTTGCAAGGTAGCAGCACACTTATCTCGTTAAATAAATTTCATTATTACCTTAAAAAAAAAATAAATAAATAAAAAAAAATGTATTTTAAAGATCTTTGTAAAAGTATATTTAACACGTTTTTTTTCAAAATCCGCCGCTCTTATTTGGAATTGTAGGTCAAAGGTTTAATAAACGAAAATGTATATTTTCGTTTTAACATAAATATATATATAAATATATATATTAAATGCAAAGCATATAACTTGGCACGGGCAAGGCCGGCAAATTTCTGGTAAATTAAAAAAAAAAAAAGTATATTAAATGGACCCATTAAATAGTGCTACTATTTTTTACTAGACTGTCAATAAAAATAAAGTGCTAGTAAATCAAACCAAAGACCAAATACGAGTACTATATGTGCTTATATAATATATGATTAAAACAGGTTCTATTTGTTTACGGGGTAAGTTATTCTTAATGCTCAAAGCATCTAATTTCGTTAATGTGGCACAATTGACTAAGTTATCCTACTAGTATAAAAGCTAAGAAACACTCGAGTAATAACTTAGTTGTTTCAGTACATTCATTTGAATACGTCTTTAATTTGTATTGCATCGTGAAAATGTCGCAAGTTGTTTTAATCGTCATACTTTGTACAGTTCTCGCTGTGAGAGCCGATTTCCGTAAGCCAGGATCATTATTCCTAAAGGATTCCCTGTTCATTTTACCAATCCGTAGCTGATGATCCCAAACCTTGTAAATATGGGGATTCCAAGTGCATCGTAAAGTTGATCAACGAGCTGATCAGCGAGAAGGCAACGAGAGGCGCTCCTGATTTCAATTTGATGAAACTTGATCCTCTGCCAGTGCCCACGACGAACGTAAAACAGGGCGAGGACAGTCCAGTCAACATTGATTTAACGTTTAAGGATAACAAAGTCCACGGTATAAGCACAATGAAGATCCGTAAAGTCAAGTAAGAATCAGATGAAATCACAAATATAACTGAATTCCAGTATGCTAGCATCTCATTAATTCAAATGCAGAGGTTTCGGCAAGGATATGACACAAAAGCACGAAATACTATTAAATGCGGATCCTACATAATGGTGGGACCCTACATAATAAAGGGAAAGGTCCTAATACTACCCATCAACGGCGATGGCTTGAGCAACTTGACTTTGGGTGAGTTTCGTTATAAAAGAAATTCAACAGACAAATATCAATTAATGTTCTCATTAGTCAACTGTGATATTGCGTTAAGCTTCACGGGCAAACCATTTGAGAAGAATGGCGAGACCCACATGGAGATAGCCAACCTGAGACTTACGACCAAGCCGGAGCGTTTGTATTACCACTTCAGTAATCTGTACAATGGCGATAAGGCCCTGGGTGACAATATGAATGCGTTCCTCAACGACAACTGGGAAGCCATATTTTTGGAGGTGCGACAGTCGATGGAATTAGCATTCGCGGAAATATTTCGAACAATTATTACAAGCGTGTTCTCAAAGAATCCTTACGCTAAGTTCTTTGAGGAATGAATGACATTTTATAAAGTCAATAAGACCTAGCCAGCGGAATTTTTAATAGATAAATGTAAAAATAAATCATCCCGTTGACAAACGATTACTAGAATATTTACAGTAATCTTCTAATATTTAAAAACTCGGCGACAATTGTTGACCTAGCTGTGATATATATGCACACTTGATAATCTTGGATTCATTCATTGGAATGAGGAAAATGAATATTAATTAATCGAATTGCAGTTAAGTAAATCAGGAATTAATTAATTGCAATTATCAGCGTCTGGTGAGCTATCGCCGCATCATTATTATTACCGGCAATTTCTAGTGCTGACGGCTTTAAATAAGCAAATAAGCTTAAACAAATTAATTTGCTTTCGTTGGCTTAGATATCTGTTAAGTATTGTAAAAATAAATTAGATACATATTAACTGATGCTCAGTTCATAGCTTCAAGATAATTTCAGTTTAACTTTTTGTAAGTTGGCAGCACTGACAACAAGTGCTGCCAATTTCCGCTGCAAAAAATGAGCTGCCAGATAGTCCGTTGGGATTCAAAGTGTGGAAGGCTGCCTATATTTACGCAGTTTTCCCTGAAGCATTTGGAAAGGTACAATGCTTGTTTGTACAAATTATGCTCTATTTTCGTGCAAAGCTTGAACTCTAAATAAACCATTCAGGTATCCCAAAACTTCTGCCTATATTAAATAAATAAATAAATATTATTATATTGGGCTCCAAAAAGTTTTCGACATAACTTTAATAAAGTCTCCAAAACACAATCTCTAGGGCTAGCCAAATTTAGCTAGAAAATAGCTGAAATTTCAGCACTGCTCATAAAATTTAGATATATAAGAAAAAACTAATATTCATTAATCACTGATTCTATAGCCAAACCAAATTGAGAGATCGTGATAATAATATTCATTTAATGTATATTCTTATTGGGCTTTTTCATTCCTGTTGCCTATTTCTGTGGCTTCTGATTTAAATATCGGAAAATTAAATGCAGCCAAAAATTATGCTAAGAACATTTAAATAGGTGTGTCATAAAAATAGCGGCAAGTATTGCGGAAGAAGATATATTAAATTTAGAGTTGATTTAATTATATAGCAGCAGTTACTTTTACTGATGTTGTTCTTTCTTAAATGTGGACAGTTGCTGGAAAAGCGGTTGTTGTCCTAATTCAATCCAAGACAACTTCCACATATCTATAAAAAGCACTTTTAAGCAGTTTTAAGAGGCGAACGTTTGCACAAGCTGATAGGCTGCTTAGATTTGAAGAAAATTGGCACGGATAGGGCCGGCTAACATCAGTCAGCTCCCTAACATCAAACTTGGTCTCTGGCAGAAGAAACAGATTGCATCGACTCGGCTACTTACTGACTCATCAAGAATATAGAGTCGACTCGGGCATGCCTTGCTCTTGTACATTTTGATTCTGGAACCTAGCATAACCCCAGTACACGAGTATGCCTTGTCAACTGGAAACAAGGGATTCAGTAATAAAATCACCACAATTTACAAGCTGCAGTCAATTAAGATCTCTTAAGTGGGTTAAAGGCGAAGGGAGCTCCCAACAGAATCCCGAGAAGCTTGCCGAAGAGTAAATACTCTTCATGCTAGTTGATTTTGCTCCTATGCCAAGACACTTCATATTCTAATTTAAAAGAATGATTTAAATAGTCGTTTTTATGGTGCTTTAAGTCTTTGCTAAACCAGTTCAAAGCTGATTCGAGCCTTTGATTAAAATCATAAAAAGGCAATAAAAAATGGTAGTCAAATGTGGCAAATATTCTCGTTAATTCAAGCAAGTGCAATAGACCAGAAACAAAGTAACACTTTGTTTCGGATTAGCAACAATTTCAATTCAAAGGGCATATTGAAAACTTGATGAAAATTAATTTTCCAACTCACACGCTTAGCTTTAAGCTAAGTAGCATAAATAAGCTTAACCTAATGATACTCTATAGTAGTTTGAGAGAATCAAAATCTATTACACAATTTCGGATACAGAGAATATTTGTGAAACTGAGTTTATATTTTGAGAATTATATAGATTTGAGGAACTGTATTAAGAATATTAAAGCCATATTTGTTTTTTGATGCTCATAAGTTCGTTAACATGAGCATATTCAAAATAGAAAAAGGAAAGATAAAGCTGCAAGGTCTGGTCGATATACAACTATATCTGATCGCTCGTACCTTTGCTATAGGGTATAAAAAAGTGTATTCCCATTATTTGACTAAGTGCAGGAGCACGGAAAGTTAATGCCAAAACGAGACGAAAATTAGTTTGTGTTTAACAACGGTGGAATAATAAGCTCAGATCAAATTTAAATATCGCAGTATAATAAATGTTTTAAAGCGTGTTCTCGAGAAACAAACCCTATAAAAGTGGACTCATCTGGAGGTAAGTTCATCAGTTAATTTCCGAAGGCGGCTAAGCAAGCATATTAAAAATTATCCCAAAATGGAATATCATAAATTAGTTATTTCGCTATTGGTGTTGGGCTGTTTGTATAAATACTCGACTGGATACGTACCCGATCTTCGTATGTCATAACTAATAAATATATTTTACTGGTATATCAATTTTTATTTAGGCTAAAAAATATGTTCTTGTTCTGTGCTTCCAGCCGCTGACATACAAAAATGCACGATTGCGGATGAAAGGTGTCTATTAGATGGCATGAACTATGTGATCAGGCATTATGCCGCAACAGGCAGCAAAGAGCTGGGTCTAGTCCAACTAGATCCGCTACGTATTAAAAAGTTAAGCCTTGGCAAGAATCCAAATAGTCCGGTTAGCATTGATCTCAGCTTTTCCAACGCGGATTTGATCGGTCTCAGTGAAGCGCAAGTCCAGCGGGTATCGTAAGTTGAATATATAAAGATGAATACTATATAGATTTCTGTTAGTTTTCAGCTGAATTTATAAATAATTTATATCCGTACTCTTAGCGCCTTCACCAGCGATCTTAGTCGTCCCATTGTATTTGATATGGTTTCCCCCAAAGTAACGCTTAAGGGTCCATACAGCGTAGAGGGCAGGGTATTGATATTGCCCGTTGTCGGAAAGGGCAATGCTCAAATTGTCCTCGGTATGCACATAATAATTTCATAATTATCAAAATAATATTTGATGCTTACTTTGGAAATCATAGAAAATTGTCAGGTGCATGCTGTCGTGAAATTGTCACCCGTGTCCAAGGGTGCTCACCAGACATATGCGGAGGTCACCGAAGTAAAGATGAAGTTGGAGCCATCGCGTGTTACCTACAAGCTAGACGGTTTATTTAATGGCCAGAAGGAACTAAGCGAAAACTTGCATGCGCTCATTAACGAAAACTGGCGTGAGGTATTTAATGAACTTAAGTCAGATATATCTGGCGCTATGGGTCTGATCTTCAAAGCTGTTCTGAATAAAACCATTGGTAATCTGCCGCTCGAGCAGCTCTTCTCAGATTTTTAAGTTTAGACAGTAGTTTGCATTTCTTTGTTGAGCTTAGTTAAATTTATTTTTATAAAACAATAAAATTAACAAGTTTTATTCCTATTAAAACTGGACACTCTGACCTTTAGCAGCGTTTAAATTAATATAAAAGATTACAAAGATGCAGCTGAATAGATTATTAAATGTAATTACATTTTCTTCTTGTTTGGCTGGCAAAAATTAAGAATGTTAATACGACTCTTAATAATTACAATTATGGATGAGTCGTTTAAAATCAAAATAAATTCTTAATGTATAACAATTATACAGTTTCTGTAAATATGTTCAAAATGCGAAAATTATGTATAATTATTTCTTCAATACAAGATATTTTCTTTTGGTTAATAGTACATTTACATTTGATACGTATAAATTTTCCAATAAGTTGTCGATAATTTAATAGTGATAATTATAAATATTGATGCAATCCATTAAAATGTCTATCAATTATTTGTATTTTCTGTATATATTAGACGATAACTGTCGTTTTGTTTGTTTTGATTAGTTAATTTGAATAGTTCGTCTCAATTCCCCAACGCTCTAACCTCTGTTACACTTTGGAATATGGGAGCGATGACTGACTCTTGGCGGTGATGATGGTGCCACTTCGAGAATATCGCCACCTAAGACTATATGCTCCAAACTATCTACAGCATCATAGGCAGAGACAGGTGCGATTGGTGTCAGCTTGCTGATATTCTTGGGAGGCTCGCAGAGGGCAATGATCTCTGGTGGAAAGTAGTTCTCGGGCGATTGCAGCAGTGCTGTTAGAAAGTCTTCGTTTTCTTTGGCGCAGCTGACCACGTTACCCAGCTGATAACGTTTAGCAATTAGCTGTTCCTCGAAGCTAAATTGAGGTGGCTGAGTTGCCCGAATGTCAGCAACAGCCAATGCCAAAGCTCTATTATTCGTCTCCTCGAGACGTGCTGTCATGGACGCAGAATAGCGATGCTCGATATCCATTTCCCAATTAAAAACGTATACGTGAATATGAGCAGATTTGATACGTTCACGCAGATTGAGCAGCAGCATTTCCAGCAGAACAGCATTGTCTACAATGTAAGAGCTTAATCCATATCCAAATCTTCATGCCTGAAGTGGAACTTACCATTAGCCAAACGGCTGATGAACTGAAAATTGCGTTGGCGCAGATCCACATTTGTGAACTGCTTGAGAGCCTGATGCCCATCCGAGGCGCTATTGAGTAGCCCATCGCATTCAGTATACTTGGTGTAGTCAAAGTGGCGATTGGTCTCCAGGATGCGACGCTGACGTGCAATAAAGCGTTCCAATTTGGTGCACAGCACCTGTACTTGATGGCGTATGTTGCAGCCTTTGGGCATTGATTGCTTTGTGGGTAAGTCGAAAACATAATCGGATGGCATCGAGTTTAGCTGATGACTTGGTAATTCTGAATTAATGTGCTCATGCATCGATTTAAACAGATCCATCAAACGCAGCACAAGATTGCGTTCGTTGCTGTAAAGATAAATATTAATTCCGTCACTATTTTGAATTATATTTTAAACACTGCAGCACTCACCAATTGCCCAACAGCTCAACAGTTTGCTCGATGGCAAGTGCGCCACACTCCTTCTGATGGCCCAAGTTCTCCTTCTGCGACTGCCTTTTGTTTTGGCGCGCACCAAAATGACCTTGAACGCTGCTGTCCGCATTTGATTTTGGCTCTTTTTTGACGGCGCCGTCGTTCGAGCAGAGCAGCCGCTTGGGCATACCCAACGACTGAACGCATCCAAATCCGTGAAACTCAAATTGTGGCGCATTCGAATCCAGTGTCAATTCGCAGACCATTTGATTGAGTTCGTGCAACACGCTTCCAGCGCCGCTTCTCTTGCAGTTCGTTAACTGTACGGGACGCGACTCTTTGTCATCAATCAATGAGCACAGTTGCGAATTTAATAGCTGCAAGTTATTGTATAGCTGTTGATCTTCGGCGTCCACCACGTTCAAATTCATTTTTAATAGCTTTAAGAATTTTTGCGCCAAAAAATCACAACGGTTTTCACTTGACAATGCGGCCGCCAAGCTGTCTGCTCTGCGCGTTTTACTTATGTACTGAACGTAACGTTGTGTGCAACAGAATTAAAATCCGCGCGAAAGTTCGGCCTGCCGCCGAGCTGTCTGGTCTGTTGGCCTAGCGATGATCGATTACCTATCGATATGAGTCAATAAGTATTCGTATATTCGGAATAACAGCGCCTGTCCGTTAACCTTGACTTAACAGCACTTTTAATGTAAAAATATCAAGTGTTCTTCTGTTAAGATTAACTGAAACACACACAGATCGATGGCAAAGTGTTCTAAATGCATTCATTTGTCACGTTTAACAGCACTGTTTTTTCTTTCAACAACATTTTGAATGAAACTGTTCCCAGTTTTCATCATATTTTATTTTCTCGATGCGTTCAAGTAATATAGGTATTGTGCCTTTGGTATGTTTATTGAATTTATTTTAAACGTTTTACTTTTGCATGATATACATAAACAGTTATATGTTTTACATTGTACATTTTTCAATATATGTATATACTTAATATGTATTATTACTTGTAGTTATATTTGTATATGTGTACGTATTTCCTATTCAAATGGTTATGTTTATTATATGTTTAACAAAATTAAAAACAAAATAGAAACAAAACCATTTTAGTTTGGATAAACACTACTCAATGATTTTTATATTCTTCTATTTGATTAATAATTATTATTGCTTCAATAATAAACAATAGACGATTATATATTAGTTAAAGCTACAACTTAGTGCGCATTCTTGTACTTCAATTAAAGACACTACAACAAAAATGACATAAACAATAACAAAAATTATGATGTAGTATTAACAAAGAATTGTTTGAAAAAAAAAATAAAAAATGGTTTGAAAACAATGACAAAGAATAGGATTTTCACTAATTCATTTTTTTTATATCACAAGTTAAAATTTTGATTATTGTTTGGTCGATTTTTTTGTTTTGTTTGTTAGACATATGTATATATAATATGTATGTATATGAAATGTTTGTAAATTGTATGTATTTATTTATGCATGCAGTACATACATTAGAAAATATGTTAATGCCATAATTTAAAAATTAACATATTTTGTAAAGTTTTTTTTTTAAAAGTTTGTTAATTTTTTATTTTTTTTTAATATACATATATAAATTGGTCTACACTCAAGTCATGATGTTTACTTAAATTGGTTTATCGTTAAGAACAGTTAGAGAGACACATACATTGTTAAAAAGTTTGAGTTTTTGGAAATTGATTATTACTTTTTAGAGATAACATAGAAATTCGAGTTAGTTGCATGCAGTTAGATGTGAAGTTTAACTATTTAACTTTATATATTAATTATTATATATTTATGTTAAGATCGTGCTCAGATGTAGACTATATGTGATATACAAAGTTTGCCCAGCTTCAAGCATATTAAAAGAAAAATTCGAAATCTCTTGGTAAACTAATGAATAAGATTTATCAAAAGCTAAATGCTGTTAATTTACAAAATAAAATATGACACCTGCTAGGTAGCTGATAGGATTCAATCATGAAAACTTAAATTCTTGCTAAATGGCTGCCTTTGGTTTTATATGTATATATATGCATATATTTATATATATATATATATGTATTTGTATATCTGAAGCATCTGAACACGATATATAGATTTGGTTATGTTCGAGTTTCCGCTAGAGCTGTTTACGTATCAATTGCTAGCCTAAGTTCAGACCAACGACTCTCTGACGTGGCTGTTTACCTGTAAAATAGTTGCAGATACTTGCATAAGTATGTTTATGGGATATTTATCTATTTATTAATTAGTTAGATGGTTGTGTATATATACGGGCGATCGATATGCTGTGTGCATGTTGTGCTCGTGTTCATGCTGTTGGTTAGGATCGTGGTCTGCTGATTGCATCTAGGGCGAAAAGACGCGCAGGCTGCGCAGCAGCGTGGCCAGAACATTGGCCAGGCATTCCGCTTGCAGCGCCAGCTGACCAGCGCCAATGGGTCCGATCTGTACGCTGACCAGCTCGCGGAAACTGCTTGCCACATCGTGCACCTTGAGCACAATGTTGCGTGTCTGCAGGGGCGCCGATGTGTGCCGTGTCATGTCCTGTGCCAGCTCCGTGATGCGCCGAATGGCCGTCAGGCAGGAGGTCAGGTGATCGGGCAGCGTTATCAGCGTCATGTCGGACATGGAGGCAACCAGAAACTTGCTGGCCGTGACTAGGGCCAATGTCTGTTCCGTTAGCTCGTTGCGTGCACGCTGGAATTTATCCTCATCGATGCTGGTGCCGCCGCCGGCAGACTGTGCGGCCGAGCATTGGGCGGCCACCTGATCCAGTTTGATAAGCAGGCCGGCCATGGCCACATCGGTTTTGGCCAGCAGCGCCTCGCCGTCGATAAGGTGGCCGTTCTTGATGAACAGCTTCTCGCCATGCAGTTGCTGGGGCTTCTTTGGCAGCGCCGGCTGGCCGTTGGAATGCGCATTGGGTAGGCGGGCTGTGGCCGGTATTGGTGGAGTTGTTGTGCTGGCGGGTATGGGCGTGCCATTTACGGGACGCGGGCGACTGGCAATGGGCGGCAGCGGGGGTTTCTTGGGCGCACTCACCGCTGATGTGGCTGCTATTGCATTTGGAATCGCCGTCTGCGGCGTAGCCGGCTCCGAGCTGGTTGTGGGACTGCTGCGTGGAGGCAGCTGTGGGGGGCACAGCTCACGCAATGGCACACTTACGGGTCCAACGATGCGCACCTGTTTTTTGGGTGAGTAGCGCTGCAGCAGCTCGGCGCTTTTGGGGGGACGTACCGGCGGCGGAGTCATTTGCTCTGTGATGGGGGTGCGCGGTGGTGGCTGCAATGGCTGCAACGGCTCCTCGATTGGGGCTGCATCCTCCTTCTTGGATGTGGGACAGCAGCTAAATTTGCTCTTGCGCTCCACGGTGGGATACTCAATGACGTGCGGTGTCTGATCCTTTTGGTTGCTGTTGTTGCCATTGGCCGCAGCCTGGAAAAACTCGCGTTTGGCTTGCACCGAGTTGCTGTACAGGCATTCCGTGTCGGGCTGCGCCTCTAGATTTGGTGGCGGCGGTATTATGAAGGACATAATCTCCTCGGGCGTCAGCTCTTTGGCGGGCGTGGCTTTTTGGGTGGGCGGCGCCACCAGCATCTGCTGCAGAAAACTATCCAGCTCCTCGGCTCTGCCCTCAAAGCCCTTCGGCGGCGCCGCATTAAGCAGCGATAGCGAGTCCAGCTCGTCGGGCGTCTGGGGCGGCGGAATGGCACGCAAATCAATTAAATCCGTATCCGTCTCAATGAACGTATCCTCACGCACCTCAAAGCCGTAGATCTCGGATAGCTGGCGAGCGGCGACATCAGTGTCCGCGGCGGGCACATTGCTTATCTCTTTGAGCTGTTGCAGATACTCGCGCAAATTGTAGTCCTTTGTCTCGGCGCCAAAGTGACTGCCATCAGGACTGTGCAGCCCGAAGCTGCTGCGCTGCGCCAGCTGCTGCTTGATGCCCGCCTGGAGCAGCTGTTGTGGCCGCCGAGTCGTTGGCGATTGCGCTGGCGACGCCACCGACTCCGAATCGCTCTCGCTCTGCGACAAATCTGTGCCTAGCGCCTGCAGATCGCTGAGCAACTGACTAAAGCCGTTCAGTTTGCGCTGTGGTCGTGGACTGGAGGTGCTGCATAGGCTGGGCTTGCGCTTGGGTGTGGCGGGCGTGGGCGGTGCCGATGCAGATACCGGCTCCGGAATGGCATTCAGTCCCTGCGTAATGCCTGTCAGCTCATGGCTAATCGTCTCCGCCAGCAGGGTCAGCGAGTCGCTGTGCTTGAGCGATGGCGTGCCTAGGCCGCCCGTTTGGCTGATGTTTGTCTCCTCTGTGGAGGACACTTTGCTGCTATTTAGGCTGTCGCAGTCGCTGTCAAACTCTAGCATGGCCACGCCATGGCCCAGCTGCTGTTGCTGTTGCGGCGGTATGGGCATTTTTTGCAGTTCCTGTTCTTGCTCGTTCAGATACTGCTCGGAGCATTGGACGAGCTGCTGTAGCTCCTGCACGCGCCGCAGTACCTGCTCGTTCTTGGCCTCGACGGCAAGCAGACTGCGTCCCTCGCTGCAATAGTTGCTGCCGCTGCTGTCGCTCAGGCCCGAGTCCTTGGCCGCCTCCTCCAGCAGCTCGGTGGCCATTACACTATGCAGATCCAAGTCCGTTGCATAGGGCAGCGCCTGCGGCTGGGAGGACAACTGCTGTGCGGGCTGTTGCTGTGACAGCACCGCCTGATGCGGCATGGGATGATATGGCGGCGTTATCAGAAAGTTGACGCTATGCGCACGGTTATGGAAGGGCAACAGATAGCTCCAGCTAGCGGGCAGCACGGTGTGCTGTGACAAGAAGGCGGGCGCATTGTCCTCCTCATGCGGTTCACGCTCGCGCAGCACATTCAAAATGTTTCCTGTAAGAGAATTTACATTGAGCTGCCATCCGTTTTGGTCCAGCGCGTTGTTATCTTACCTGTGAGCAGGCGATAGTAGCCGCCCAGCACCAGACTAAATTCACAGGCATCGCGATCCTCCATAATAAACTTGACAGCGCGATCGCCCAGCATATAAATGGATACGCTGCAGGTGATATCGTCCTCGCGATGCACCACCACATGCGTAAAGTCCTCTATGGCCGATATGGGCTGTGGCTGTGGCAAAAACAAAGAGCTAGCTTAACAATTGCCGACAATATAGATGTTGCGTTGACTGACCACCGAATTCCTGGCACTGGATATTTGACTTAGGCCGAAGCGTGGACTCACGAGCAGAACGCGTTCCATGCCCTCTCTTTGGTTTGTGCTGAAACATTTGGCGCCATAGCTTGGTAAACTAGCGATTATATCTAGATAATGGAGTTTCGCCTGCAAGAAACATATTTTTCAATAATGTGAAAATTCGTGCGACAGAAAGTAGGAGATGGCTTGAATCATATTAAGGGTTTACAATTTAGTTATATTTCGCTTCTTTTAAGTGTGGTGAAATTATTTTTATTATTATTTTGTATTCATAATATATACTGAGTAAGCGACAGACCAGGGACCATATTTCTACTAATTTTTTTCTTTATTAAACTTTGCCTCACATGCCTCTAATCTACTTTAAAGATCGCCTCTCTTTGTGATTTTCATAAAATTGAGTTACGCTAACAAATTGTAATCATACCTGCAGCTGGGTTAGAACCTTGCTGGAGGAGCCCGTCATCTCGGCATTGAGCTTCAAGAAGTGAGAAATGAGCCGGCGCAGCTCCTTGCGTTTCATGCCCTCGAACAGACTGACGGGCACAAAGCGTTCTAGGCCGAACTCACGCCTAAAAAGGAAAGCGAATAGTCATTATGGAGTACAGATTAAAAGGGAACTGGGTACTTACTCAACCAGTTTGACGGTTAACTTGGCGGGCGCAAAGTTATTGGCCAGCGCATGCTGATGCATGTGTAGGGCGGCCAGACGTAGTGCCAGCTCCGGCTGAAGCTCTGGTGCAAAGCGCTCCTGGTTGACATCGTTGCAGCACTGCATGTACAGATAGTCCAGCGCCTGTAGATCTCTCTGTGCCAGCTCTGCGGCCGAAATGGGCACAAAAGTTATGCGAAACAGGCAGCGTAGCTTGTGAGCGCCCGGCCGGGCAGCAATCTGCAAAAGCAACAAAGAGCATTAGCACGCGGCACATAAAAAGTGGGCTGATTGGACTTACGCGTGCCAGCGACTCCTGCGGATCGAGTAGTGTGAGCTTGTTGCGCTTTAGACTCTTGACATGCTCCAGCACCAGGCTGAAGAGTTCGCCGCAGCACAGGCAGAGCTTGTCCAGCAGCGAGCTGACCACGTCCTGCACAGTTGTGGTGGCATCATACTTGAATGACTTGGTCTGGCCGTTCTCCAGAAACACCTTGAGCACATTCGCCATGGGCGGCACACAAATGTCGCCCAGCGAGAAAGCTGACGGCTGTCGTGAGTGGAAGGCGGGAGAAGCAATTAAAAATAAATCGTGTCAGCCTACCGACTGCTACACCTACCGGAAACAGTGGCGCTCCATTGACGCACACGCTCTCCGCGAAACGCACACGACTGGGACGCGTGCGCAGCTTGGCCCGCTTGCCGGCTGATAGCAGCGTGGACTTGCGACCGGGCAGCACACAGTGGGCCATGGGCTGGCAGACGAGCAGTGAGACCTGAGTCTCACAGGCGCGCACCAATTGTATGACATGGTCGCGTGGGGCATCCTTGACATCCTCACCATTGACCGCCAGTATCTGATCGCCTGGCTGCAGCTTGCCAATGCTGGGTCCGCCCTCGGTAACAAAGCGGACAATCACCGGCCGCTCACTGCCAGCAACAAAGCCAAAGCCAAGGCTGGCGCTACGCTGCAGCTGCACAAGGCGCGGCTCCGGCGGATGCTCATCCCAACGTATGCACTCGGGCGCCTCGTAAGTGGTCGTCTTGTTCAGATGACTATTGGATGGATATTGGATATTAAACTGGATAGCTCGATTAAAGTAGGTCTACTCACTTGATATAGTAGGAACGCCCCTTGGAATCTATGGCTCGCTCCCAACCATAGGAGAGCTCCTCATGCTTGCTCCAATCCTCGCAGGCGGGCAGCCAACCAGATGATTGCGTCAAATGGCTGTAAGCGAATTAAGAATATAAAGATTTGATTTATATTTTAAGCAGAACTTTGTACAACGAATACAAACCGAAAACCGAACTAAACCATATTAATTTCTTGGTAAGGTATATAAAACTTTAAGGGAAGACTCAACCACAAAGCTTTAATAAGTAGCTTGGGGCCCAATCATGACAGTTATCTAAGCACAATTTGTAGTTATTCGAAAATTAAAAAATAATTACAGTCGAACGGGCAGTTATAAGTTAAAAAAAAATAAATAAGGGCCAGCACTCTGTACAAACCGCAAAACCGAACTATTAACTAGTTTTTTGGTTTTGCAGCTCAGGCTTAATGCAGACTTCAAGTGCGTTTAATATCGTGTGCGACTATCCGATTGTGCTTACTATTGACCTTGAACTTGTAGCCAATCCCTCAAGCTCTGCACCTCATCGGGATGTGGAGCATTTTATGTTCAGTCTGCGAAAATGCATTTCAATTGAGATTAATCAACCCTAATTGGGTTATGTGCTTGGTTATGCAACAAAGTGCAACCATATTGGGGCCAAACCAGGACAGTACAAGCCCAGACCCAATCCATGACCCAACCAAAGCCAAGTCAAACCACCTTGGTGGCTTCCGTTGCTGTCTTTCTTCATTACCTAGCTGCACACAATTGCGATAATTAGTTTTGCACTTTGCTCGAAAGCTGGGAGCTGAAAGCTGAGAGCATGTGGTGCGCTTGGGTAACCCAGTGCCAGTGGAACCGTAGCCAAGCCCAACCAATGCTCATCCATTCAGGCCAGGCAGACAGCTGTCCCCCAATTGCCCATATTGCCCGCATATTTCTCGCCCTCACGCTCACCCTGCCACGCCCCGAGCTCTTATGGCATTTTGTACGCTTTCAGTTTGATGTGCAACAAAGTGTAAAATTATTTAATAGAATTTCGTGCATAATCAATTTATGTGCAGCAGCCAGGCATTCATAGAGGCAGTCAGTCAGTCCGAAAGTCCGACCGTCCGCTCCGACCCGGCCCGACCCTTTTGAAAAGGATACACTCGACTGAAACAAAGGCCATGGTGTTTAACTTAATAATGCTCTGTATTGTTCACGAGTGCACATTTGAAGGTTGCCATATAACAGTCTCTATGTGTAAATAATATTATAGCACATATAATAAATGATATTGTTGCAGTTAAATTTCAATTTTCTTTTGACCTTCAACTGAGTTATTTTTAAACATAATTAAGGTTTATTAATTACAATAATATTTTACTCTGAATATTAGGCACGGGAACTAAGGAAATATAGCTTTTTTTTAATATTCTAGACCTATGTCCATTAAATATTTAAAATAACTCAGTGCAAAGTCAATGTCTTAAATAACTATTATGACGTCTTTAGGATCTCAATTTTAACATTCAAGTCTCGAAATCTTAAAAATAAAATAGGCAAGTGGAACAGATTGGCTATAGATGTATTTTTTAAATTTACTCTTCGTAGAATCCTTCCCAAGTATTAATTTGGTTTAAGTTATTATTTACTTCATATAAGTTTTTTTATACAACTTTTGTTTACTTTGTAGGATAAGTTTACTTTAGTGCGGTAAACAATTTGCATTTAATTTATGATGCCCACGAGTCGAGTATAAAAAGGCCAAAGGCCTACGCTAATTAAGTTAAAAAACCAATGAAAACATAATTAACCTACATACACATTACGTATACGTATACATGCATAAATATCCTCGGGCAGTTTGCACTTAAACAATAATCTATACAACAAAAATTCTTTTTAAGGTATTACATATTTTTTTAAGTTAATTACAAACAAATATTTTGCGTTTTCACAAAAAAAAAAAAAACAACAAAAATCAGTCAATAGGTCAGCCAAAAGCACGAGCAAAAAAACAAGTAACAGATTCTAGTCGGGAGCTCCCGACTAGGGGATACCCTGAACCCTCTTCTTCCAACATCAAGTGCATATGTATATATTCTATTTTAAAAGCTATATGTCAAGTTTGGGGACTCTAGCTCTTATTATTTACCAAAATTGCCCAAAAAAAACAGGATATCGATATCGATATCGATTTTTTTCGATTGCTTGGAAACGGGGTAAGTTATCGATTATCGGAAACAAACTCGATCTGCGCAGACACTAGGAGCACCATTTAAAATCTATAGCTCTTATATGTTCTGAGATCCTTGACAGACGGACAGGGCTAGATCGACTCGGATATTGATGCTGTTCAAGAATATATATACTTTATGGGGTCGGAGATGCTTCCTTCTGCCTGTTACATACATTTGCATTTAGCACAAATACAATATATATATAACACATATTACTTTACTTACTTGCAGTAATAGAGCCTGCCATCCTTGCCCACATGGACTGTCCAGCCAGCCTTGAGTTTCTCCTGCACAGCGTTCAAGTTTCGATCAATTTCGCCCCAATTTCCGATGGGCACGCTGCTCGCATGACTCGTTCCCAGAATTGGGGCATAAAGGCTGCCAACCCCAAATCCTGAGTTGACAGCACAGTTCGCAGTTGCAGTTGTGGTTGTTGTTGCTGTTGTTGTTGTTGCTGCTGCTGCTGCTGCTGCTGCTGCTGATGTTGTTGTTGTTGTTCCGGTTGCCGTTGTCGTCGTTGTTGTTGTTGCTGCTGTCGGTGACGACGTTGACGTTGTTGTTGTCGCCTGTGTTCCGGTACCCGACAGACTTCCGGCCGTTTCTTGTGCTACTGTGACAGTGAAGGCGGCCGAAGAGTTGGAGCGGTGCGTTGCGTAGGCGTTGGCGTTGGCGCCGCCATTTAGCATCGGCAACGTCGTCAGCTGGGGCGATGATGTTCTTGTCAGTAGCAGAGGTTTGGCCCCGCCCACACTGGCCGTTGTTGTGTTGACATTTTGCAATGGATACACATCACTGTTCGAACGCCCCGAAGGCAGTAACATCATTGAAACACATTCGCTACAGAAAGAGAGAGAGAGACACAGAAAGGAAGTTGAGTTGAGTCGTCGTCAGTCCATATTCACATGTTGTACTCTCTTGTAAAAGCTGGCCACAAATCACATTCCACGACGTCGACCCACTTTTGCCAAACAGGCTCGTCTGGATGTGCCGTGCCAGGCCAAGCCAGGTCTGGCCGTGCCTGGATGGCCCCTAAGTCAACATATCAGCTGCATCTGCATTGGCATTGCCTTTAGCTTCAATGTTGCTGCTGCATTTGCAGTGGCAAAACAGGTCTCGGCGCCACTCAAATCCCAGACTGAGATCACAAGCTGCCACATGGTGGGCTAGGTTCAGGTTCAGCAAAGCTGCTCGGGCCAAGTTGAACGGCTTGTTTGTAATGTTATGACACAATTTCGGATTTTGCCAGAGATGATTGCACAAGTCTGAGCAGGATGGAGGCGAAACAAGTTCAACAAAAATCAATGAAATTAATCTGAGTAAGTAGCATAGCAGATCAAACTGGCTGCTATGTTAACAGTTAGTTTAAAATAAACTAGTTTACAAGTTAAACGCAATTCAATTTATTTATGAATTGACGCAGTAGATCAAGGACAACAAGCTGGAGACCATTTACAAGAAGCGTATTTTGATTCTCCCTGCTTATATTGTGAACGTACTACAACAAACCTATGCAAATAATTACTGATTGAGATCTTCAGTGTGCGAAAGTTAAAGTTACAGCATTTTAGCTTTCTACTTATGAAAGCTGATTCAGTGCTGTAAATTATAAAAGAGTTTCAGGGTTGAAAAACGTTTTTAGCTGTCTAAGCAAATGCATTTGGTCATTGTGTATACCTTAAAATCAAAGCTAATTGAGTGCTGCCAAATTTTAAAGATTTGCAAAACGAGCTTCAGCATTCCGGAATGTTTTTCGTTTCGGTTTGATAGTCAGTTCGGTAATCAGCTATAAACTTAAATATGATTGAGTACTGCGAATATTTACTTTAAAAGTAAAGCTGATTGCATGCTGTCAATTTAAAAAGATATGCATAAATAGCTTCAGAGCTCACAAGCATTTTGAATTCTTTAACCAAAAACAGTTAAATGACAAGAGTTAAGCTCGACTAAAACAGCTTTTTTGCTGTCAGCTGTGCAGAATATACAGTGTTGCAAAACGCTTTTGGGTAATTGACCGTAAACTCATGAGAGAATTAGTTGTGGAATTATTATATGTTGGTAAGCTAGCCAGGCTAAATTGGTAGTAAGTAGTTAGTTTTGCCAAACAGACTTGTTATTTGGCTCGAATTCTATCTGTAAAAATTATACACAACAACTTTCGGTACTGCAAAGCGGCTTAAGGCCACTTATCAAAATACAAAGCCTCGAGCATCATTTGGTTAATCAGCTTTGCTAACTTGCCTTTGTTTAGACACCTAACTAACAAGGATTTAATTCGCTTTATGCCTTGTGTTCACAACTGAAAGTAAATCCCGAAAGGTAACTAAGCACATAGCAGAGAATTACTGGTTGGTGTTCTAATCCAACAAAATCTGGGCGCTTCTTGATTTAAAGCCATAATCTCTTGTTGGACTAACACAATTTGGAGCTATTTACGTTGGCTGGAATATTCGTAATTTCAAATGGATTTCGCATTTTGCTGATATTTTCCAATCCCGACCAGCCAGCAATCGGTCCAGAAAACTACTGAGTGCATTCTTGTAACGAGTTTTGCGTTTGTGGTAAATGGCCAGATTTGTAAATGGCAACGCCCGATAGTGCGGATGGATGTGGATTGTGGATGAGTCCAAACAAAGAGGCAAAGAGTGACGGCACCGAGTCCAAACAACAGCAACAAGAACAAAATGAATGTGTCTGTTTTGCCTGTTTGTCTGTTTGCCTGTTTGCTTGCGCAATTTCCTTCTAGCTGGCAGAATCGCAGTCGGATCTGGAGCTGAAGCTGCAGTTGGAGTGGCAAAGATGTAGCATCAATAAACGAGATACGACAGCGTGAGCCAAGCACAGCGCAAACAGGGGGATATCCATTAGGCAGCGGAAAGGAGCAGCGGCTGGAGAGGATGACGATGATGGCGATGATGGCGATGACAAGGCAGGAGGCGCCGCTAAGTAACGGCTTGGTAAACAACGGCAACGGGCAACTGGCAACGACATGGTCAAGTTCCCTCATCTGCTACGTCTATTCTTTTTTATTTATTTTTTCTTCATTTGCGGTGTAAAAGTTTAATAAACAACTTTACACACATGCACTTGCGACACACAAACACACACACACACACACACGCAGAACTGGAGCATTTGAAATATGTTTTGAATTACATTTTTGCTCTGTGCTTTTGAATCGTCTTTGCTTGGAGTGGGACAAGACGAGTGCGAAAATGTTGATGAAGCTCTTCTTTAGGGTATGCTGCTCGAGCATATTTGAAATGTTTGTAAAATAATTTGGCTGGAGTTTACATTTCATTGGAATGGGATTCAGGAATTTGAAAAATGTTTGTTTAAAGTTTATTGAATTACTCCATTGAAAAAGTTATGAAAAAGAACTAAATACTTCTGTTAAACAAATTAATAAAAAATATAAGATTAGGAGTTTGCATTTGACTTTTTTACAACGAATTTTTAACATCACATAATGAAAGCTCAGAGATAATATTTGTATATAAATAAAAAGCTTTTTATTTTATTTTATTTAGCTAAATGATAGGTACAATTTCATTTAATCAAATTTTCTGAATATTTTCAAACCAAAAAAAGTTAACATTCTGGAATTTAGTTCCTGTTTTCTTAAGGTTTTAGGTTTTTAGTTAGCCAAATTTTGGATTATCGGATCGGAAATTATGCTCCACTACGAAATTGCCTTCTTCTTAAATGAAAAAACTTAATAATGACTCATTCGGATATATGTAACAGTTGGAAGTGAACAAAAAGTAGAATGTGTACCAACATTTTTGCATTAGGCTATAGTGCTAGACCTCAGTGTAAGCGATACGAGAGCAAGATACATTTTGTCACGGAGCTCAGACCGAAATGCTAGAGTAAGACAAGGGGCAGGGAAAACACTTCCAGCGAATGATTTGTGTCAACAGCAGCGGCAGCTGAAAAATGTGAGACTTCGTCGACAGATGGTTAGATGGTTAGAGTGTGTGCGAGAGAGAGAGATAGAGAGAGAGAGAGAGAAGTGCGCTTCAGAGATCATCAGTAGCTGGCCAAGAATCAAGCAGCGTCACACAAGACCCGGCTATGGACTGGCCCAGTGGCATGGACAATTGTAAAATGGCGTTGCGGAAATTGTGCGAGCAATGAAAAGAAATGAAAAGATGTCGTCGACACCTCATGATGAGGCGATAAAAAAAAAAATGCGCAAGAGTGCCAACGAAAACTAAAATAAAGCCTCAAGCGCCGGCCGGCAAATGCTGTATTGAAAAGCACAAATTGTCCCAGTTTCAGCAACAGACAAAAGCCAACCTGTGAGTGGTCTGAGCCCCGCCTTCCTCCTTTCTCGTTCCTCGTTCGGCCTCCTCATGGCATTATCAAGCAGACAACTGATGGCAGCAAAAGAAATTAAACACAATTTGTGTCTCTGTCGCCTTTTTTTCTTAATTATTATTATTTGTACTTATTATTAAATACAGGCAGCAGTTTACCAAGCTGCCATTTTCCATTACAGTACGCGAGTATTACTATGGATATGGGGGCATTATGGAAACTCGAGCTCAGCTCTGCTCGTTACTTTTGCTTTTAGCAATTTCATATCGTTCGCATTGTTAATTGAAAAGAAATTACAATGCCAGCAATCGCAAAATAATAAAAACAAAAATATTAAGAAATGAAAGTTATGTATCCACAGTGTAGCACAGTGTGCATACACTAGCTGTAACGATGTACGTATGGTACATAAGGCAGGTAAAAATGTGATTGATATTCCGTTCACAGTATTTATATGCTATGTTAAAACGATATTAAGCTTTTGGTAAAGATTAAATGTAATATTTCTGCTAAAAACGAAAGACACCACGCAATAACAGAAAATATATATTAATATATGTGGCACATTTTTCAAATTGTTAAGTATTTTATACAAGAATTAGCATAACTATGTCGCATGTTAAATCCAATCAATCGGGTTGCAAGCAAGATGTCATCAATCATAACTATATTTAAAATCGATTGAACACTTGAAAAAGTATTGCTCTTTATCATTTATATTTCCTTACATGTTTGCCAATCATTAATTAACGCTTTAGAGTTTTAGCAATAAGCGCAATTTCTTATGAAACTGATTCTCAAAATATTTATACAAATGGCGCATTGCGTAGCTTAAAACATAGCTTTAAAGTTAATCCAACAGAGAATTGAACAATTTATTATAATCAGATATGTGCAGTTCAATTTGTGGCTGCATAAGTCGAGACAGTTCTTTATTGTGGTCAGCAGACTTTGTTATTCAGTCAGTTATTCGCTCGTTAAGGGTATGAAATTGTGCATTCAAGCTGCTCAACGTCTGTTATTTTGTTGTTGTTATGTCATTGTCGTCTGTTGCTCATTTTGATTACAATTTTGCTTAAAGTAAAAGTGGAAAATGTAGCCGTGCGTATTTACTTAGCATTCGGCCAGTCGACACTCGCCCAAAATGAAAGCCAAATATTTCACAGACATTCAAAGTTGTCGTCCAATTGCAGTAGCGGCCATTTATTCAGATTTATAACGATAAATACTCGCACATAGCTAGAGAGCTATTCATTTATTCATTCATATTGCCGCCCCTAACTTCTATATCGCCATCATCGATATATCGTGCGGCTGGTGTGGCTCGTCTTGCGGTTGAACGTGATTTTAAAAATGTCACGAACACGGCGGCAAAACGCCAACCAATAAATATATATATATATCCAAGCACTTGCCGCACAAGAGCGTAGTAGCAGGAATATCCATAATGAAACGCGCTTCGCTCGAAGCGCTGATAACAAACTCATTCATAAAACTTGGCTTTCTCGGTAAAAGTC